TCCATTCATCCAAATTAGGCCTTAACATGCTTGAATTGCATGAATTATGCTCTCTTGCTCTATTGGCCTACAAAACACACAAAGGGAGGGAAATAACTTAGAATTATAGGAACTAAGCAAAAGAAGTAAGTAAATTGGGCATGTATATGTATGAAATTATGAGCTTAACAGAACTCACCCCCATCAAAAACCCATCTAACCTCAAAATCCTCCAAAAAGCCAAGGTTTGATTTCAATTTTGATTTCAACTTTGTGGATGTATGTTTGAACTTGGTTTTACGAAGATAGATGTTACTTTCAGTGGGTTACCACCGAAATTGTTGCATTGTTTCAGTGGTAGTTCATCGAATTTGAACTTGTTTTTACGAAAATAGATGTTACTTTTGGTACGTTACCACCAATCATTACCTTGTTTCAACGGTAGTCCATTGAATTTGTTTCCATTTTTCAGTGGCTGTCCACCGAATGTGTTTCCGTTTTTCATTGGTAGTCCACCGAATTTGTTTCCGTTTTTCACTGGTAGTCTACTAAATTCGTTTTTTGTTTCAATGATCCTCTACCGAATTTGTTACTGAGTTTGTACTTAATATTATTTTTTAGATATGAAAATGACTCGCAAAGGTACTACTGAAGCTTCAGAATCATAATTATGGAGCTGCATTTGACCCATTTGCCTCAATGCGAAGCAAATATTATCAAGTAAAATTATAAATTTGTTATGACTTCCACTTTTTCAATTTTGTACTTTTTACTAAGGTATTGAATTCAAATTCATTACAGGAGCATGACGAGCGTATGTTGTCCTTTACTAGGCCGTTCATGGCATTAGGGGAAACAGTTGCATTTCGTACACGACCTTCTCAAGTTTATCAAGTAGTTGAGACCTTGCAGCATATTTTAGAGGGTACAAACATACGGTCTACCATGACATATCAATGTCGTCATTGTTAACTGACTTGCTAGCATGCATTTATTAGAACTCATGGAACTTTTGTTGTTTTGATTAGTTATTGCATGTTTGTATTAGAACTTATAGAACTTTAGAACTTTAGAACTTTAGAACTCATTCTGGCCCTTATGAAGTTTGTCCCACCAAGAAAAGGAATAGGATGATCTGGAGATACAAGAACTTATAAAACAAGAATTCATTAATATACGCATAACATATAAAATTAAATTATGTAGCGTAAACAAATAAATTCATACCTGGACATAATGATCAACATCAACAAAACCAATGTCAATCTCATGTAGCTTGGTTTCGCTTGATTGAACTGAGAATGGAAGAAATGTAAGGCATTGAGGCATGCTTAGAAGGATTAAAACCACATTAATGGTGCAAATCCATCACCAAAATAATTTAGCTCTCGCTCAATCTCGTTGTACCGTTTGTGTTCCCGAATACACTTCAATAGGAGTAAGGTCAAAATAACTTTCATTAAATTTGTGGTCGACAATAAGTTACTGAAAAAATAAATATATTTCGGTTCGTTGCCACTAAATTGTAGGTAAAAATTCGATAATACACCACCAAACATCGTTCCGTATTATAGTGGATCTCCACCGCATCTTAAGTTAATGGCCGGTCAAACACGACCGAAATAGGTGCAATATTTTGGTGGCATCCCATCGAATTTACCTATCGCGTTCGGTACTAGTGTTCTGAAAGCAACCAGCGACCACCATGAAATCCTAAACGCCTAAAAATAAACTCATATCTCATTCGAAGCCTCTTTAACTTCAGTCTCACCCTTCATGAAAAAATACAAGATATTTTTTTCACCAATATAAGCTTATAAACCTCGTTAGGGTTGTAGGAACATGATGGTTGTAGTGAGCAAATTTAATTTTTATTTTAAATATTTTTTGTCGTTATCGGTAATTATGTACAAGGATAAAATAAGTTATTTATGTTTAAAATTAGTATGGGTTGCAAGGAGCAAATAATGATGTGCCAATAAAATCACCCTTTAATAAATAGTTTTCATTCCTTCTTGTTAATTAGGGGTAGTTTTTGAAATTATGAATATTTCACCATTTGATGTCATTTTAAAAAAAGAAGTATTGAAGAGGGAGAAAAAGATAATTGAAAAAAAATACAAGTTCATATAGCGTCAATAATCGCTTCACAGTAAGAGAATATTTATGTTTGTTTTTTTTTTAGGTCATAGAGAATATTTATGTTTTGACACTTATATATTTACCAATGAAGAAAATACTTTATTATAATTCATATTTTTGGATTTATATCCAAAGACACTCATAACATCCCAAGAGGAAGGATCTAGATTCCTATAGTTTATTAGAAAATTATTTTTTTGTGAATTAAGGATAACATAGAGCCATTATTTTAACATTTTGAAGTTTTTATTTTTTAATTAATCGGAAGGGAGGATTCCACCTTCAAACCTTTTCCAATATAAGAAAGAGAAATGTCATCAAACACTTGGTGATTAGTAAAAATTCTTCCAGCTTGCACTTCAAAAAATCCATTAGGGCTCGTTTGGGAGTGATTCTCAAAGAACGAGAATCACTTAAGTGAGTTTAGGTGATTTTTGGCCTATCCAATATCACTCCCAAACGAGCCCTTAATTGAAAGACCAAAAATAATAATAATAAATTTTAAAAAGAAAGTCACTTGACTTGATACATACTATTTTCCAATAGAAATACTCCCAACACTTTTTTTTTTTTTGATAAACAGAGGGGACAAAGCCCCAGGAACAAACACCTAAGAGGCCTTAGAACAAATCAAACGGGATCTAGGAATCCCAATCAAGTCCTCATCCAACAAGTCACTTGCCCAAGGAGGAGCAATATCAAAAACACAGACACCAAGATCCAGGTTGTGACTCCAGTTAGCAAGCCTATCTGCGACACAGTTTATCTCCCTGTAAATACTCCCAACACTTTGGTGATTAGTAAGTTGCATATAAGAAGTCATAATGACTCTGAAATGTACAAACCAGACAAGAATCATGAGATTTTCTCAAATATCAACATTGTTGTACAGTTACATCACTGCTACACTGAATCAAACTTTACATCAAACCTAAGTTGAATCAAACTTGAACTGTTAGGGAGCAAACCAAAATGAAAAAGGAAAGGCTGGCTACAAATCTTTATTAACTTTGTTGTAATATACAAGGGCCATTCTACACCAGTTTCCAAGTAAGCTAGAATTCCTTCTTTCTGCCAAATCAAATCCGTCTCTATGATACTACAACTGACTGATACTGAGAAATGGTGACCTATCTCTTCAATGATTGCAACTTTTATTAGTAAACCCAGGGCTTCCAAGGCATTGTATTTCTCTCACTTTGAAGTAGCTCTTACTGGAACTTAACATTCCAGGTTACCAACTTCAGTGAAAAGGGCTTGCAGATGGATCAACTTTACAAGGAAGAATGAACCAGCTTTGATGTCTGGCTCGGAGAAAAAATACGAGAAGAGAAAAACTAACACTCAAATATGAATATCCCATGTAATCAAGCAGGGCTCCTATATACACTCTCTGCAACAAAAAGAATTGTTCTCCTGAAAAAAGTCAACCAATGGGCGGTGTGTTGTCAGTTCTTGATGGCACACAAGATGCTTTCATAAAATTTCCCTATTTTTTCATCTAATTTTTCATAATGAACAAGTATAGAACACGAACTAAATCTTCGTCAATAAAGAACTTACTACTGGGAAAACTCTGAATCCATTTAAAGCGTCCTGGAGAAAGAGCGCCGGTGCTTATGCCAGCAGCAAGTCTTCAATTCAAGTCCTCTCTACAAATTCCCCTTTGAAGTTGATTGGAAAAAACGTGAAACTTCACGATAGAGCTGTTCAGCTTCAAATGGTTTGGAAACATATCCATCCATTCCACACTTTGTGCATTCTTCATGGGTGGCCTGAATTACATCCGCAGTCATGGCCAGAATTGGGACATGCCATGTTAAAATATTTCCATAATCCTCTGCAGAAACTTTGCCATTTTGAATACCGTTGCTGATATTGCGTTCCATATCGCGTATTCGTCTTGTAGCTTCAAACCTGCAGGGGGTAGATTAATGTTATAGGTGTAGTACTAGTGACCAAATATTAACCCATGATAACTAAACTGGAACAAAATTACCAACAAATAGCCTAGTATGCCACATTTATGAATTATCTATGACAGCAAATTAAATGCAAACAGCTGTCATTACATATAAAGTGACTTATAGGACAGCCCAACAGTGTTCTTTTCTATTTTTGTTAAAGCAAACAAGCAGGGATCTTGCAAAGCAGTAAGCTTCATGCATTTAATGGTATTCAGATCTTAATAAGAAAATGGGGAATGGGGGGAAAAAGAAGTTTTCTGACATTTCAGCAAGATTTTCAAATTTAATCTCCAAAAAATGATTCCTTACATCAAAAGCTTTTAAAGTTAGAAGCACCACATACCCATCCATCTCTGGCATTTGGATATCCATGAAGCAGGCATCAAAATGGTGGGGTGGTGTAAGCAGTGATATTGCCTTTCTACCACTGTCTGCACAGACCACTTCAGCCCCATACTTTTTCAAAGCACCAGCAGCTACTCTTAGATTGACATTATTATCATCTATAATAAGAATTTTTCTCCCAAGTAGAAGTTTGCGGAGAGTCAAACTTGGGAGCTCCCCATTTCGAGGATTACCCTTGTTGCCAACTCCCATGGCTCTTTGTAGTGAGGCAGCAAGCATACTTGCCCTGAGAGGCTTCATGATGACAGTTGGGTTAGAGACAACTGAAGTTGCAGAGTTTATTCTGCAAGAGCTACTAGAATTAGTAAGAATGAATAGCTTTGGTGGAACCCGGCAATCAATTTTCTTTAAATTATTGATGAAGAGAGCTGAAGTGCCCGAATCTTTATCCCAAACTTCCTGTTCAACAAGGACCATGTTGACAGTTGTATTCCCACAGCTCAAACTGCATAAACCCTGATCCAAATCAGAAACTACTTCAACACGAATTCCAAGCCGTTGGATATGATATCTTGACATCTTGGCCCTAACAGGTCTTTGGTCCACAACTAATGCTGTCATGCCATGAAATTCTGAGGATGGAGCATTTGATTGGCTGTTGATTTGCTGGATCTTAAAATCATCTGAATTACAGAAGGCCTTGGTGAAAACAGCAGTAAATGTAAATGTGGAACCAATCTTTGGAATGCTCACAAATCCGATTTCCCCTTTCATGAGGCCAACCAAACACTTGCTTATGCTTAGCCCAATTCCTGTTCCTCCATGTGTACGTGAGATGGATGGTCCAACCTGCATAAAAGGAGTGAAAACGCGAGATTGGGCTTCTAGAGGGATTCCTACTCCTGTGTCCTCAACAGATACAATAACATTGATGAGATCAGAGGACGATGCGAAATGGCTTGCAGATCCCTCTTGACTGAAACACCTAAATCCTCCCCAGCTACGGTGTCTATCTGCAACAGGGAAACCACTCAAAGTGTTCTTCGATGATGATTCAGTCTCAACATCTATTGAGCCAATCAGCTCGTCGACAAGATGAACCGTCACAAAGATGTGTCCTTTCTCTGTGAACTGTAAATTAAATAATCAATTTAGCTACTATTTATATGCAGGAATCAGGCAACAAAGCTAGTTTTTTTAGCTGCTAAAATACAGTATGACTTGAACAAAAATCACAAGGTGATATCAAGGGCAATGAATACGTTCATTCTCACCATGTCACTCTTTTTCTCTTATTAAGGGAAAAAAATTTCATCCAGAAGGCACATTATTTAAATATATTTGGAGGCAAAAGGAAGATGATCTTTTGGAGTCATCCATTTTTTTCCACTATGTTTAACTATACTTGAGAACCCACTAGAAACTTACTTTGATTGAGTTCCCCATGAGGTTGGTGATAATCTGCCGAAACCTTCCAGGATCGCCAATAAGCATTTCAGGAACCTGATCTGAGATGTATACTGCCAACTGCTCTCCACAAATTTGATCATGCAAATTCCAGAAATTTAGTTATTAGACAGTGAAAACCTTGCATAGAAAAGCACAGGTAAAAAAGTGGAAGATTTTTTTTCTTCTTTGGGGAAGGGGGTGGGGATGGTGGAAACATCATTTACCTCTACTCCTTTTTCTTGAGACTTCCCAGAAAAGAGTGATAAAACATCATCCAGAATTGCCCGCAGATCAAAACGCACTGCCTCGAGCTCCAGCTTACCAGATTCAATCTTTGCTTGGTCCAAGACCTCATTTATAAGTGCAACTAGTGCTTTTCCGCTGGCCTGGGCAGTTTTAACATAATCTTGTTGGGTTACATCCAGGTCTGTGTCCATTAGCATGTGTAACATTCCTGAAAAATGAACAGAATTGTCAAGGTTCAACAAGCTTCTTTTTGGCCTGTGCTTTTTTTCTAAATATTTGGGCAATGCAGAGACGCGACTTGAACAAATAAAGGGGGCAGTCTCACAAACTCACCTAGGACACCATTCATTGGCGTTCTGATCTCATGGGAAACAGTTGCAAGGAACTACAGAAGATTGAGATCTGATTAGGCACAAGCATAGTAGAATCGTAAATAAACTTTTAACTGCATTAACCAAAATCATGAAGTACCTGAGATTTGGCAACATCAGCTGCCTCAGCCTGTTTCTTGAGCTCCATCATCTTATGGAAATCATCCTCCACTTTGGCAATCCTATTTACAGTTGCATGAAATATATGCCCAACAAGCAATGCAATAATGAGGATCCCAATTGAAGTTGTAATGGCTAACCACGGCCATGGTGGCCTGTGCTTGAACCTGTGTAAAGACGAAATTTGGCTTCTGAATACAGTTTTAAAAGACTTTCTAGATGCCTAGGTGCCTCAGAAACAACCAAGGAGAGGCCTATAGAACATGGAAATTCAACACTAAAAGTTTAAAGCACAAGACTTATTTATTACCTGCAGCGCATCTCATGGATCCTTAAGGGATCTCCAAAACTTAAGGTGCTAATATGCTGCATTCCATCATCTGAAACATTTGAACCATACATGCTGATTGGATGCGAATGATTGGTAATGTCATACACATTCACTAGGATGGTTTGCTTGCTTGCAAGTTGTTGAAGTAACTTCTCCACAAGTGACTCGATATGAAAGACTCCACCAAGATACCTGGTTGGCAGAAACAACAACCTTAATAAAGCTTCTGCTGAATTATAACCAGGGTGAATCTTCTATATTTTCTCGCATGTAATAGCAAGCCTTGCAGATAAAACAAAGGAATGTGAATATGCTACTTATCTACAGAAAATTGCAATATACTTTTCTTAATAGCATGTTCTCATTCAAAAAATGCATACCCATCAGTAGCTTGAATTCTTTCATTTGGAGTTGCATTTGAGGGCAGATCTCTTTTGTAGACAGCAAACGTTAATATTACTCCAAGGCGCTTTGTTTTAAGCAGCCGAAAAGGAGCGGTTAGAACCGCCTTTCCCGATTCTCTTGCACGCAGCACATTTTGGCGATCTTCCTGTTGGAACACAAAGGAATGAAACTTCATGATTGAGGATCACAAATCAGAAAATCGACTTTTTTCCTATATAGCATGAAACAATGTTGGAAATGTTGGAAATGTTGAAGAGCTTTCTATACTGTAATCTATGAGTTGAAAGGCCAGTTCAGCTAAAAAATTATCAGGCTATTAAGAAAGATAAAGGTTCTACCATCCATGTTTTGGATAGATCACCCCTACAAAATAAAAATAAAAATAAAAATTCTTGAATAACTACTGGATGACATGCTGTTTTAATCAAGATGGCACAGTTTTCAGTCAGATCTACCAATACAGTTGAAGAATGAATTACAACAACTTGACAAAAAAACACAGAATCTAGATAAGGAAATACCTTCCCCGACAGCATATCAAAAGAGATGATGTGTGAGACAGTATCCTGTGCAAAGATGACAGGAGCATATTCTTCCTGAACTGGGAATGGTACCAAGGCTTCTGGGGAATAGTCATTCTTATGATCTGGGTTTTGTTCGAGGGTATCCATTCTCTTGATAGTCCAGCCCTGCTGCTTCTCAAATTGTTCCTTTTCCGAGTGGAGCACCCTTACAGCATATGCCACACCACTCGTGAGGGGCCTCTCAAAAGCAGTTCTTTCAGTGTACCTCGCAAAAGTTTCCTATAGGTTCAGAAGGTTAGGATGTTCTGCTGACTAGATGATAGTTACCATAGCTAAAGAAAACTCATATCTGACTAACATATCAAATTAACATTTGGTCAAGAAACCGCTACTAAATTCTTCGAATTTCATGTCCTCAAGTAAATCCTCACATGACAAAAAATGCATCAACTAAGAGTCTAAGACCAACTATAAAACAAAATAGTTAATTAACAGACGGGTAGTTGATCAATTACTTGCAATTTGAGTAAACATACACTAAAGTCTGGTAGTGAATCAAGCCATATATACCATTCTAGGCAGAGGACCAATGACAAAACAAGGACACAGAAAGCAGTGAAGCAGTGAAGCACTGACTGGTTGGTGGATGAATATAAATTTCAACAGATTTGGCATCCTGAAATTGCTCAGAGATGAACGATGATCTAGTTACCTGGTCAATAGCAGATGGGTACTTGGCATGGTGGAAAGTCGAGATCAGCATGGACATGGCCTGAATATGGTTCATGCTCACATTAAATTGATCCTGCAACATCCTTGCCCTCTCATCACACATACTTGCAAGAGTTTCTTTCCTCTTCTCATTAGCTTGTGAGCTCATGTACCAGAAGATCCATAGGCTCCCAATCGTCCAACCAACCACCCATGAAACCAAAAGCCTTTTCCACCAAGTTTTGCGGACTCTCTTGGACCCAATATACTGGTAGTAATGATGACGGATCTTACTAATATTCATTGGGATCTTCTCCCACCATTTGAGGCACATCTTTCCACCATCACCAAGCAAACCAGCCTTGGTGTCCATAACCCCACCAGTAAGGTACCAGTTCATGGAAATCACAGATATAATCCAGCAACATAGCATCCAAAGTAGATGCCCCACCTTTAAACCAAACCCAAAGACATGGAAAAAACTCATCCACGGCAGTAAACAAGGGAAGTTAACTAACAACAGTGCCAAGATGAAGTGACTCTGACTTCTTGTTGATTCCGGATGGGAATGAGAGAGAGAGAGAGAGAGAGAGAGAGAGCCAATCAAATCTACAGGAACTGTCAAGCTAAACCCAGCATTAGAAAGAAAATTCCAAACTTGGGAAAACAAATCCACCGACCTCCAATTCACTAAACCAGGCAGATAGATTGCAAAGGATGTGTGGGTGTGGGAAGATGTTGAAAATGTTACCTTATCCACCCACCAAATAACTTCCAATTGGAGAGTGCAAGCAAAACCAGGTCCCAAAATTAGGAAAGACAACAAATTTACAGCACTCCCAATCCCTAGAAGAACCAAAGAATCCCAAGATTCTGGTTTCTATTCTAAGAAGAATTTGATTATCCTCTTGAGCTACCAACCAAAGCCCAAAACAAGCAATGGGGCCAAACTGGGCAACAAAGATTCCAAATTTAGTTATCAAATCAGAAACAAACAGCTCCCCAACAAAGAATCTGAAAGGAAATCTAGTCTAGGAGACACCTTAAATTCCTGAAATCAAAGCAGAGCAAGTTGAAGCATGTGGGCGTTGTTGAGGTTTGACTATCGAGTAAGGCAAGCTGAAGAGATGTATTATTATGCAGCGGAGCAACACCAACACTATAAGGAATAAAGTTAATGGTGGAAGAAGCAGTTTTGCGAGAGAAGGAAGAAGGTAACAAGTGTGGATTCATGGACACTAAGAATGAAGAAGAATCTGTGACTGTGAGAGATAATTTAGAAGAATATGATGGTAGAAATGTCTGCTCGCTTCACAGGGCCATTATCTCTATCCAAAAACATCCACCCAAGCGAACAAATAAAAATTAAAAATAAAAATGATTAAACAATTTGTTTATAGAATTACTTACAAATAATGTTATAAAAATATTTAGAAATTAAGGGCAGTAAAGGTATACTTCCCTTCCCACTCAGCAGAAATCCCTGCTTTTTTTCCAACTTTCCCTTGCGTTCACATCCCTATCCATCCAATGCCCAGTAGACAAATTCTACACGCTAAAGGAAGGCGCCAAGTCGTTAACTCTATGTGTTTGTATGGCTGTACTTTGATTGACAAAAGTACCCTCTGCATGGAAATCAAATTTCACTGATGCCCATCTCTTGCCTTTGGTCCTTTCTACCAAATGGCATTAGATACCCCGTACTTTTCCGAAATTGCCATGAAAGGACCAATAGTCAAAAGAGTAGGTAAAGAGAGAAGGCCCCAATGATAGGAACTTCTAAGAGGTGCCATTATGCTGCTATCATCCTCCTCATCCCCTGTTTTGTTCTCGAATCTAAACCCACTGTTTGGTTGCAGGCTCAGTGTTTTTTTTATTCTCTTGTTTTTGGATTTCATATTGGGTTGATAGGGTAACTTTTGTTCTATCTTACATTTTTATAATAATCTTCACAACTTACCATTGGGTCTTTAGTTAATTGGTTCATTGTTCTAACACAAAAGTCAAGTGCTAAATATGTTAAATATGATGCAAGATTCCATCACACTGCTAATATGATGCCTCATTTCAAAGACTCAAGCTCGGAATTGTGGGTTAGGTCAGTTGATAAGGACGATGTGGACGTCTTTTTACACTTGAGTTCGAAAATTCCTAAGAGATAAGAATTTTATATAATAGAATAATAGTTAAAAATAAAGTTAAAACCAACCCCACCAATGATGATATAGGAGTTTTGTTAATACATTCGTAGTTGTAAGCAATCTTCCTCCTACCTAAGGGCAATAGGGTAGTAGGCATCTTTATAGCTTTTTATTTTTATGTTTTTCAAAACTTGTTTACCATATAGGAAGCAAACAAAGAAACAAAAGTTGGACAAGGAACAAGGCATGGAAGCAAATAGAACCCAAATGCATGGGCAAAGTTTGTCAACAAGAAGATAAGCTACATAGAGAACTGGTTAGACGACAACAGTGGCAGAAGAGTAAATTTGTGATAAAGCAGGGGTAAGAACGCAAGGGAACTTTAATCAAGGCATGTCACGAAGTGATTAGGCCATCACTACTAATACCCACTTCCTTTTTCTGGGTGAGCTCTTTCTGAAAGCGACCCTCCCATCCCACGTCAGCGCACCGGTTCTCCAGCGCCGGCCAATCAGAATGTCCAATGTGCAATGTCCATAATGACCCTTGCTTGCTACGTGTCAATTGTGGGGGAGAGGATGGAAAATAAGAGCATCTCTCTCCCACGTGTACTAAAAGCCTCTCTCTCTCTCTCTCTCTGCTCCGCTTCGACAAACCTTGTCGGGGCCTGCAGCTCAGCATCGTGTTCGATCAACTTTTGTAACTGTAAAAATTGCTTCTTCACTTCGCCACAGCTTTTGGTGAGCAATAATAGTTTTTTAATTTCTTTCTTCATATAAAATATTTGGATCATTTCTTGATTTTATTATGCTCTATTTCTTATGCATGATTTGCATTACTTATTTTTGTATTGACACATTGCATCAAATGTTATATTCAATCATTTTCCTTTTTCTTCTTGTTGGATATCTCATCCATACACATTCGATACAATATCATCTTGATATTATCGAAAATGGTAAAAAGAAAGAGTTTTCAAATGTGGATTTTATGTCCAACGGATCACACCAATCAAGAAAAAGTATTTTATTGTGGTTCGACTTGTAATCTTTTTTTCTATGAAAGAGTGACAATATAATTTAGAACTCAAGTGTCATTCTTAGTGTATCAATTACTAATTAAGTTCCAAAAGTTTAGTATAAAAAATGAAAACTAAAAACTAAAATTGAAATGGTTATCAAACGGGCCTTTAAATTACAACCAACAGAAAAAATAATAATAATAATAATAATTTGATTTAATTTAAGTGTCATTCTTAGTGTATTAATCACATGTAATGTTACTTTATATGTATATAATCAAAGGAATCAAATCAGGGTAAGATGATCTACAATGGGTAGTAGTTAGTTGAGGAAGGTATGGTGTTCTTTTCCTTAGCCCATGATTGTTTCCCAGATCGAGGCATTCACTAAACCAGAATCAGATAGACAGAGTTAGATAGTAGCCACACCTAAAAATAGAAATAGTAGCCACGGTCACACGGTCACACGATCACCCCCACGTGACCTACTGAATACTTAAGTACTGGGGAGTTTTATTGTAGTAAATATCATGCGTGCGAGCAATATAAGGCTTTTCAGGTATTATTAATTGTACCGTACCAACAGTTAATTAATAAGATTATATTATTTTGTCTCTGTGTTAAATGGTGTAAATAAATTGCCTAAACAACAGGTAGAGGTCGTAGCTCTTTTTCCATTGGATCCACAAACTGTACTTGGTTTGTAAGGATGGATACAGTTTTGTCCTCTGAGAGGAAAATTTTATTTTTATGCCAGCTCATTGAAGTAACATGCAGGGCCTAATTCAATTTTATCCTTTCAACTGGTTTTTATTTTTATTTTTATTTTTATTTTGAATAATAGAATAAAACAAAAAAAGAAATTATAAATTATGGAGGGAGGGAGACAAGGAAACTAGGTAGCCAGCTTATTTCTTCATCTGCGACAAGCTGCTTCCGATAAAAATGGTGGCTGTCCAAGACCCTTAACCCTTTTCCTATTTTGCTTTTTCATTTTTGGTCTGGTTAGGTTAGGTATTGTTCAACTTCTAAAGTCCAAATGCTTACAACATAATAAGATCAACATCACCGTCATGGCAAAGGACATAATTACCCACCTCATCAAACGCTTCATCAATTCTTTCTTGTTTTTTTTAATTCGAAAGATTTTGATACTCATTCTCTCATGCACGCCTGAGTTATAATAAGTTCATTGTATACAATCGATCACGTACACGTGACACACCTCTCCATCCAAAATATACAGAAAGAATTGTGTTATTTATTTATATAGTACATATTTGGAAGCTTCGATCAGCAAAACGACCAAATTGATGAGGAGTTTAAAATATAATATTGATGTTGAACAAGGGTATGTCCAAACCGAATAACATAATAAAATTGAAAGGTGAAAGGTGAAAGACAGAACAAGTTTCAATATCGATTTACGAAAACAAAATTAATTAATTAATTAATAATAAAACATACTTAGGTCACTCTCAACAAAGCTCCCTTTCAATTCATTAACAAACAAACTAGGTGTCAGAGATTACGGCATCCCACCCGCCCAGAAAAGAATCAGCTTATTAGAAAGAAAGAAAGAGAGAGAATAAAGGGTTAAAGCTGTCTATGAAGCATCTCTAAACCCTACTTAATTATTAATCTCATCATCAAGACAAAGTAATTTGTGTTAATTACGTTATAATATTATATAGCTCTTTCGTTCTTGCAAGCCATGTTATGTTAGGATGCTGCCTGCTGGCGGCCACCGCCTAGGACTATCCCACGCGGCATGTTATGGACGGTTGGATTGTTGGGACCTAGAAAGTTCTCAAGGACTCTGATCCAAGGAAATTTGGCATGTGTTGGTTTAAGTGTTTTAAAACACTTGCACTAATCAAATAGATTATAATAATTAATTCAGATTATTGTTATTGTTTGTTATTGTTGGAGGTGGACCAACCAGCCCATTTACATTTAGTGTGTCTCTGTGTGATAGGGATGTGTCCACATGCTCGCTCGACGGTGGGAATTTGCCAAATTTTATTGCTTCCCAACCTAACACTTAATAAATTGGAACTAAGAAGGTATAGGTTTAATTAAGTATGGAAGTTTAGACAAAATGAGGATATGCATGCAAAAATTAAGTGCGTATTTACATGAAGAGATTATTATTGTGTGGTATTGAAACTACATCAATTTTTTAATATATAAATGATAGTCTAAATTCTTATTTTAAATTAATTTAATATACAATTAGGTGCAAAGTAACGGACTCACTACCATGACCAACTTACTTCTTCCATATTTGCAAACTCGAACATATTAAAATAATGAGCAATGATGTGGTATAGTTGTTTATCCTTATTTTTGGGTGACAAGCGAATGCAATAACCTCCTACCTAGTTATTGGCCAGAGTTAATCTAACAATAAAAAGGAATTGGATTCCAAAATTATTTGAGTTTGAGAATTCGAGCACTAGATGATTGTGACCCTTAATTAAACTCGAGAAAGCAAGCAGTGTTATTGATTATAGCGTTAATTATGATCTCATAAACAAAACTATTTCAGAACAATAAAAAGCACATTTAGGAACAATGTGGATTATTGCTGATTAAATTTGTTACTTTGGTGACTAGTGCTGAAACATTGTTGGAGGAATCGATGGCTTGGCACTTATTAATGTTTCAATAATTCTCTGGAATATTCAGAAACATTTTTTAAAGAAAAGAAAAATTATTGTCCTATCTGGTACATCACAAATATTATGCTGCTACATTTCGACCAAAAAAGGAACTCCACGCCATCAATATCAACTCAGGCAGGCCAGGCAAGTACTTGAATTGCAAATAATTTAATTGTATATTTCCCTAAAATACAAGAACAATAAAAAATGAGAAAACTTTTTCCAGTTTGCATTGGGAATTAATTTAGTAAAAAACAAAATCCTTTTACTTTTAGAATGGAGTGTTTGGAAATGCATGCATAGTAGTAGCTGTGGTGGGTATGGGGGTCCAACAAGCAGAAGCTGGTCACAATCACCACCAGGCTTGCAAAATGGTTGCTTCAATCATTGTAGTTTAAGCACAAAAGATCATTTATATACACACGCACGCACACAATTAAAGTGTTACGGGGGTTTGAACTTGAGACTCCTGATTTACAAATCAAGATCACTTTTCATTGGACTAGACATTAATTGTTGACTATTATTATTCTTTATAATATGGCATTCTTAAGGTAAAAAAATTCTGCAAAATGTATGAGGAGTATATGGAATATGATGAAAACCTACCGACCGTGGATATGGGGAATTAATGTTAAAATCCAACGGCAGAGAATTCACCAAGAGTTCAAGTTTGTTGAGGTATCAGTTCGGCAGCTTGATGGGGTTTTGATGGATCCTATCCTAGTAAGTTCTGTGTATCAGCAAAAGTGGCGAGAGCAAAACTTTCCATCTCATCGCCCAAATAGCTGAGTCTCATCATTGACCACAGTAGCAATCATCTGCAGTGAAAAATCCTCAAATTTGGAAGGCCAATATGCAACTGCCTGTCGCAATATTGTAAATAGTATAAAGTTAATTTGACTCATTTTCAACATTATTTTGGGGTCCAAATATTGCACAAGCTTCCTCCAGATGTTTATAACTTTATGTTAGATAAACTTCACAATCATCAACTTTGTTGTAACTTTTCTTCTTCTTCTTTCTTTCCTTCTTTGAAAACAAAACATTAATAAATTTTTCATTTTTTGCCCTTGGAACTTGTTGGATTTCTTGGGTACAATACCCTAAAGCCCATAACTTATGATTTGTGTCCTCGTTAAAGGGTCTACTTTACCCCCTAAACTAAAATTTGGCCATCAAGTTGGGCCTATTTTTGATCTCATAGCTTACACAACCCAACAAATTATCCACTACTTTTGGGTTGAGGGGTCGAAAAATCAGAGTCAAAGTTTTGGGTTTTGGGTTATGGAGTAGGCAATCTTATTTTTGGCTACTTTTATTGTTCAATTAAAAAAAACAATTGGTAGACAGGGGCTTTAGTATGGTTGGTTAGAGTAGATGTGCTCTTCATTATGCACTCGTAGTTTTTTTATTATTATTTTTTGTCGAAATCCCTTTTTATAATTTAAATTAGATTAAAGTAAAATATCACTTATATAAAAATATTAAAAATAATTTTATACCTAAATACTAATACTAATAGTGGTTATGCAAGTATCGGGTTGTTTTATATTAAGTTGAGCACACGTAAATTTTTGGTGTTTGTGCTAAACTCAAAAAATTATATGTCAATTTCATAAAACATAATGTCATTTCGTAGAAAATCAAAAATCTCATGGTTTTACATATTGAACTAATTGTGATGATGTAGGCTAATAATTTTAGTGTGGTTTTTATTCGAGTTAATTTTGCTTTTATGATGTTAGTTTATTACTCTTTTGGGATTGATATTTTAGATGTATTTAATTGTACCGTTGAAGTTTATAGAAGTTTTTATTTGATAATAAACTAGGCCCTTGACACATGCTCACGCATGTGCCAATTGATTTTCTTTTTTCTTTTTTCTTTTTTCTTTTATTTTTAGAATTAAGAAAATATAATATGGGTAGTTGTATTCTATAAAAGTATGACTTATTATCTGATTTTGTTTTTAAATTTATTTTTTTAATATGAAAATATGTGAATTTATCATATTATCCTCATTTAATTAATAATTTCAATTCTTAATGTTTGAATTAACTAAGGGCATTTTCTGGTATTTTGAATGTTTCACCATTCTCTGCCTTTTACTTTATATATATACTAGCCTCTCTGCATGCACTTGTGCGCCTGCGAGAGGCTTTTATTTATTTTTTTTAAAATAAATTTATTTTAGAATTAAAAAAGATAATGGGTAGTTGTGTTCCATAAAAGGAGGATCCATTATCTGATTTTTCTTTTAATTTTAAATTTTTTTAATATGAAAAAGTGTAAATTTACCATATTATCCTCACTTAATTAATAATTTCAATTCTTAATGTTTGCATTAACTAAGGGCATTTTCTGGTATTTTGAATGTTTCACCATTCTCTGCCTTTTACTTTATATATATACTAGCCTCTAAATAAATAATATAAAAACACAACTAATAAGCACTCTCGTAATGGGAGCAACGTCCATTTCATTGTAACGTGGACGTCACCTCACGAGTTTGGTGCTTTTGGATTTTGGCACGTTGCCCCTTAACGTCCGTTACAACTATCACAAAAAGGAGAGGTTGTTGCCATGGGCCACGTGGTCGGCGGTCGCCATGCCTCTTGTAATTTTTATTGTTTTGGGTCTGGGTTTTTCATTTTGAAGACATTGGACCATATTTCCGTATCCCATTAGATTAGAGTTGCATAAAGAACAGAAGTTTTGGAGACCGCCAACTAAAGTACTCCGCTTTTTTTTTTTTGTCTGAACCATGAGGTGGTCCTGGATGGGCCTCAACTATGGGTGGCACCTTTAAGCCTTAACCACAATCCAGACTAATCCCCACTCACACCGGGTCGGCCCGTAAGGGGTAAAGTGTTGGCCAAAGTGGTGACTCCGTACGAGAGCAGGGATCAAACCCCTGACCTCTCTTAAGGAATGAGAGTGCCGAACCACTCACACCAACCACCTTGGTTAAAAGTACTCCTTTTGACTTGCTTCAATTATCGTCTTATAAAGTTATTCTTTTTGAAGGGTATGAAATTTCCATCTCCATCTGGTCTCCATAATAGTAAAAAAACTTATATGAAATGAGGATAGCATTATTTTGATACTTTTGACCAATCACAAATTGCCACATTAAAAAGTTATCACGCATGATATATCGTGTCTGATTAGGGATAGCAAAATAATGCTATCTCCATTTCATGTAAGTGTTTCTCAATTCAATAGTAAGTCAAAAATTTATTTGTCTGTAATTTTCCATATTGCCCATTTTGTTTAACTCTGAACAATTTTAAAGTTAAATTGTATTATATCAATTTAGAGTTGTTAATTATCGCTTGTAAAAAAAAAGTTTCATTATTATAACAATAACCATCGTCATTTGAACTTGTAACGTTTTCAATAAAGTGAAGACTTAGTGACACTAGATCAAATAGTCATTGACTTCAAAATTCACTGTTGAAAATGGATCAATTTCAAGTGAAAAATAAAAAATCAAGTGGGCAAGTGTGTTAGTTTTTATACAATTAAAAGAGATAACTGAAAGTTGGAATATTATTGTGAAAATAAAGAAATATAGAATATTTTGAGCATATGTTATTTGGAAACAGTCGAGTAAAAGTTTTTTTTTATCATATGCGGTAATTTGACACTTTGTAAATTTTTTAACTCATTCTAAAATGTAAAAATAAAACATTTTTACTACAAGTGATAGTCTAAATTATTCTAAATTAATTTAATCTACAAGAAGAAGAACTCAAACTTGAGTGAAGGGGGGCAGACACACTGTCCTGGCCAACTTGCCTAACCTACATATGCTATATTATATTTTTAAAAATAAACGGGCCAATATGATGATTAAAGCTTACAAAAAAATAAATAATGATGAGGTACACCAAGAGAAAATATTTAAATAATATTTAGCACAAAGCGCGATGTGATGTCAATTTGATATTAATTTTACTGCCTTAAATCCACATACAAATTGACTACTCAATTGAAATAAATTTTTTCTTTAATTATTGTCATCTCATGTTCACATAGTAATTTGACACATCAGTTCGAGATGCTTTTGTACATACTTTTATTTATTTTTTATTAGGGATTCTAGAATCGTCTAATTCGTACACCAAACAATGTGTCAGTACACGTATTAATACCTTACTTAGCAAGTGGGACCCAAACATGACCCAATCAAACACTGCCACATCATTTGCTGAATAAACACACAAATACACACACCAAAAAAAATTCTTCACTCATTGCAATTCAAGAGTTAAAATTTAACCATGGTTAGGATGAGAATAAAATGTTGGGTTAGGTTAAGAATTAAGAATAAATACTTTGAAGAGGAAGGCCCAAGCCCTTGTGCTATTTTATAATTTGCTAATTTGGGATACCTGTCTAGGTTGTGAGAAGTTTTTTTGAGAAAGGGACCAGTTTTGGGGATTTTTTAGATTTGGGTTAGAAAGAGGGGCAAAAAAAAGAAAAAAACTGGTGAAGGAGGTCTGTCCATGGTGGCTCTCTGCGATTCAAATTCCTCAGCCAACACAGCTCATATAATAAGGTGAAGAAACTTATCTCTGAATCTAGGTTTTACTTAAATTTGGTGCTATTCATGTACTGATCACTGAATCTAGGGATTCATTTCCGACTTAAAATTATCAAAATCAGGGTCTTTCATAAAAAAAATTCGTTTTTTTTTAGCCGAATTGTAACTGATTGCCCTAGATCCATGGAGGAATTTCAATTCTCTGATTTTGGATATGCTTTTTACTCTCATTAATTTTGCTTCTTTGTTAGTTTGTGCCGCATCTCTGCTTCAGCTTATAACCAGTTGAGTGGTCAATTTTAAGTTCGAGAGCTAGAAGAGACTCATATGATTTTGAGAAATGTATCTGAATGAATATTTTGGTTATATTGTGGTTGCGTGGTGGAAATGAGGGTCTAGAAAAGCATTGCTTTATAAATTTTATTTGACCCATTTTGTCTTATCAATTCGTTTTGATAGACATCTTGTTGGTATGCATTTGTTGTTGGATGCTTATGCTTCCATGGAACTTTCATGACAATTTTCTAACTGAATTTATTTTTCTGAATGAACCATAAGGTGGCTGAATTGTTAGAGCAAGTGGGAGCACAGCGAACATCAGACTGGAAGATAGTCTAGGAATATGGAGTGCAACAAAGATGAGGCTACCAGGGCAAAAGAGATTGCGGAGAAGAAGTTCACTGCAAAGGATATTATGGGGGCAAAGAAATTTGCGTTGAAGGCTCAGAATTTGTTTCCAGGGCTAGAGGGTATTCCCCAAATGTTGGCGACCCTTGATGTCTATGTTGCTGCAGAGAACAAAATGAATGGGGAACCTGATTGGTATGGGATACTGGGTGCGGATCCGAAAGCAGACGATGAGACAGTAAGGAGACAGTATAGGAAACTAGCTCTTATGCTTCACCCTGACAAGAACAAGTCTATTGGAGCTGATGGAGCATTTAAGCTACTTTCTGAAGCATGGAGTTTGTTGTCTGACAAAGCTAAGAGAGTAGCCTATGACCAGAAAAGGAATGCAAAAGTACACCAAAAAGTTGCGACTGCGAGTGGGGCTTCACAGGCTTCTTCAGGGGCCAATGGTTTCTACAATTTCACAAAAAGTACAACGTCTGGCACAAAGACTCAGAAGGGTACCACACGGGCTAGCCGCTCTTCAGCTCCTGCTTCTTCTCATAAAGCAAGGCCTAGTACCTTTTGGACTGTGTGTCATAAATGCAAAATGCAATATGAGTATCTCAGAATTTATCTTAATCATAATCTTCTTTGCCCCAATTGCCATGAACCATTTCTTGCTGTAGAAATAGTTCCACCACCTATGAATGGTTCCAAGTCAGCCACTGCATGGAATTCCTCACAGCAGCGGCAGACTCCAAAGCATGAAACAGCTAATAAAAACACATTTAATACAGGGAGGAGTAATGCCACCTCTGCAGGTTTCAACGCACCTGAATCATATAACCAAAACAGCTTTCAGTGGGGTCCATTCTCGAAAGCATCCAGTGCCTCTACGGCTGCCCAAGCTGCAAGCGTGGTTCAGCAGGCCTATGAGAAAGCAAAGAGAGAGCGCGAGGAGGCTCAAGCAGCAACAAAAAGAGAGGAGGCCTTGCGGAGGAAGGATCAAGCCTCCAAGAAGGTGAGTGGTGCTTCATCTACAGGACACCCTAATGCTGCAAAGAGAAGAAGAGGCATGGAGGAGGTTAGTGAGAGCAGCTATGGAAAGGATGTTACAAATCAAATGGGTGTGGGAGCTGGAGGAGCTGGATCGGTTAATTTTTCTGGATTGAAACAGGCTAGTTTTGAATCAGGTAGGGTGAATGGAAACTCCAGGACCAGTATCACAAGGGATATATCCCTGCTTGAAATTCAGAAACTACAAAGGGAGAAGGCAAGGAAAGAAATTCTAAAGAGACTGAATACATCTACTGTAGCAAAAAATGCAGTCAAAGAGGTGGGGAGTGCGAATGAGAGAGAAAAACCTTTGGGAAACATTGACGTGCGACGCGACCAAAACAGGTGTCGTGAGCCAGTTGATACAAAAAATGGTGCTAGTGACAGGAAACCTTCTGGATTTTCTGGTGTCCGCTCAGATGCAGAAACCTTGGAAACAATGTCAATAAATGTTCCTGATCCTGATTTTCATGACTTTGACAAGGATCGATCGGAGAAGTGTTTTGAAGAAAGTCAGGTCTGGGCTGCTTATGATGGCGATGATGGGATGCCCAGATATTATGCCTTAGTTCATAATGTGATTTCTTTGGATCCGTTCACAATGCGGATCAGCTGGCTGAACTCAAAAACAAATAGTGAATTAGGGCCTCTAAGCTGGGTGTCTTCCGGCTTCTCAAAAACATGTGGGGATTTCCGAGTAGGGAAATATGAAGTGAATAAATCACTCAATTCTTTTTCGCACAGAGTTCGGTGGACAAAAGGTCCACGGGGCGCCATCTGCATATACCCCAGGAAGGGCGATGTTTGGGCCCTATATAGGAATTGGTCCCCTGACTGGAATGAACTCACTGCAGATGAAGTTATACACAAATATGACATGGTAGAAGTTGTTGAAGACTACAATGAAGACCTAGGTGTACTTGTAGCTCCCCTTGTTAAAGTGGCTGGGTTTAAGACAGTATTTCACCGGCATTTGGATCCTGAAGAAGCCAGGAGAATCCCCAGAGAAGAGATGTTTCGGTTCTCTCATCATGTCCCTTCATACTTGCTTACGGGTCACGAGGCTCCAAATGCTCCAAAGGGTTGTCGGGAGCTGGATCCAGCAGCTACTCCATCGGAACTTCTTGAGGTAACTAAAGGTTAAAGCTGAAGACAAAAAGTAGAATGATGCAAAGTTGAAGTAGATGTAGTGGATGACGATGAAATGCTAATGACATAGAGATGGCAGTGTATTCCAGTACTGTCAAGGAGGGAAGAAGACAAAGGGAGTGATTTATAATAGAAACTGTGCAGGATATCCAGAAAACAAATCAAGATGAAAGAGTGGAGCATGCTTCAGAAACCAAATTGGTTGAGTATTGGATGACTTGATTTGATGCAGTTGGAATTTATTGACTTGGTTTAAGATTGGATCAAAAGTGTTTCATTATCTTTTACCAACCATGTAATGTTGGGGCTATGCAATATCAGCTGAAGTTTTGTGGGAAGTTCCTAATGATAATACTTACCTTGCCATTATCTGCAGCACAGATTTAGTTTGATAGGTAAACATCCCTTGTTTCCTGGAACTTGAAGAAGCAGCAAAAAGATTGAAGGTCCATTTACGGCAGCTCAATCGAAGGTTTCGTTGAAGGAAATAGAATAATTTACATACCCTCTTCAAACAGCCATGTTTAGTTTTTTGAAAAATATCTCCTTATTGGTTGTCCATGAGCTGATGCTCCATTTCCTTGATGTAGTTATAGTTCTTACCTGCCCAATTTTCATGTCTTATGAAATTCCATGATCTTACATATTTTCTGTAAAACAGGTACTTTTGTTAGTTCTTCTGATTAATGATCAAACAGTAGTGCCACTGATACCCATTTGATATTAGTTCATGACATTATTTCTGTGGAAAATCTTCTCCTCCCTAACCTTAAGACTACTTCAAGTTTTCACATTATCATCATTTCTCTTCCTGCTGTGCTATGTCTTACTTGGATCTTACATATTGAAGGTTAGATGACACTCCAGTTGAAAACTAATGAAGGTTATGCCTTCTTCCAGCAACTTGCATCTGAGTCTTGTTTTAGTGTTATGGTTTGCTAATCTTCTTTTTTTTGGTCTATACTTTCTTTTGTTTTAGTGTTTATATATATATATTTTGGTTGGTAGCAAGCAGCTATATGTTAATTAATGATGACTTGAAATTGAAAGTACAATTTCCCAATTGCATCCTACCCAACTCAGACATTTAAATAGCAGACCAAGTTTTTGTCAAAATGACTTTTGGTTGGCTGAGGGAGATATTTTCGTCAAGGCAAGGGGCCGCTAATTTGTGCTATGTTCTAATTACTAATTACTAATTAAGACTAACCTCTGGGTCAGCGGAGGGTGTTTGAATCGAGTCATGGCCCTATTCAAGAACATTAAGACATAAACTAGAAGATCTCTCCCTTCTACATCCAGTAAAAGTGATATTTCTCTCCCTAAACACTTTCTCTTAATAAGAGAACAAAAAAATTACCAAACAAAATATAAATCAAGAAAAACTTTATAATCTTCACATTTGGGCATGATTGTGAACCTTGTTAGAAATTGAATCTGGGAATGGTAGTAGAGTATCTAATTCTTCAAAGCAAATACGGGTCCATAAATTGAAAAGTGAAGAAGCGACTTGTTTACTTATGGCCCGTTTAATAACCATTTCAATTTCAGTTTTTTGTTTTCATTTTTGTGGTACAGTAAAAAGGAAAAAGAGTGCGGATAGAAGTGAAAATGAGAGTGGAGATAGGATTGAGAGAGAAGACGAGATGAGAGAATAGGAGGAAAGAGTAACAAAAGTGAAAATAAAAACTGAAATCTATTTGAAATTATTTTCACTTTCAGTTTTTGTTTTCACTTTTGTTACCACTCCCTCCCTTCCATTCTCACTCTTATGCCACATGATTGCAACACATGCATATGCCACTCACTCGAAACCAACCAAGCACATCCACACTTCAGTTTTTAAATCCTACCAAAAAAAGATTATTTGCTGACTTCTTTGATATCAGTAAATCTAGTTTTTTTTTATAAAAAAAATTTAATTATAAAAAAGCATCTAAAGTATGGTACGAACTTGAACAATGTTATTTTTTATGTTGAACCTGGCAGTCAAAATCCAACCAAGTTATTCAAGAAGGTTTTCCACATCCTATAGGAAACTTGATTAAGCATAATATTCAATGGAAAATCATGATTAAAATTGATTAAAATGAGATGTTGTATCCCTTTAGCCACTAGGAGATGTTAGTATCTAAATGCAACCTTTGTATCCTAAATTTTTTCATTTTAAAAGCCACCCAACCTCCCTTGTTTTTTTTTTGGTTGAAATGGAATATTCATTCAAAAGGCCATAACAAGCAAACACATAATACATATTTTAATATTTACCCGAGCATGTATGAAGATCATGACAAAGAGAAAGAAGATTTGGATGAAGAATTTTATGAAGCCATTAGGATCATAAGGAAAATCCTACAGCAAATCTTTTGATTCTTTGGAGAATACAAAAAAGTCCTAAGTTAAGTAAAATCATGTAATTACAATCTATTAAAATCATAAGTCAAATCTTGTAATTACACAAATCATGATATCATGATGAAATCTATTGCATTAAAATCCTGTAATTACAATCTATTAAAATCGCAATTGAATACACCCTCCTAAAATTGAAATGGTTATCAAACGGACCCTTAATTATCTTAAATCATGATGTCAAAATTATAAATTATTTTGAAGTTGAGTATCTAAACCCTTCTCAACTTAAAAAGTAAATGGAGCACTTACACTAAATAGTTTTCTCCTACAAATAAAAACTCACTTGTCTTCAACAATTAATTTTGAATTTAAAAGTGTTAAAACAATGTTTCTCTAATTCTCTCAACACTGGTTTTAATAATTTTAGAAAATTGTAAACACATTAGTTACTCTTCCTAATATATGACAAAAATTGAAAATCAAAAAAGCAAATTAAATATACCTCAATCTTCAGATCTCCCAAGAAGTGTCCTCAACCACTACGAGAGCCCTCGAACAATGCATTGGGATGTATCTATTTATCTATCTCTTGAATCGAAATATGAGCATGTTTTAAAAAGGATCCTAGAGTGTCTAGGATTGAGCAAGGAGGATCACCACTTCCATTTTCTTTCCATTTATTCTCTCACTTGCAATTTTGCCAGTTAGTAATAGGAAAAAATGGTTTTTGTCTTTCAATCGAAGAAGAAAGAAGTAGTGATTTCGAATTTTCGATGAAGAAGGAAATGTAAAGGGGTGGATGGAAGTAGACTTAGTGAGTAAGAGAAATAATTTGGGGAAGTGTTTTGAGTAAAATATTAATAAGATTTGGGTGTATAAAAGTTTAAGGGAATATTATTCGCACTCCCGATTTGTCATTTTACACTCTTTTTGTGAGTATTTAGGCGCTCAACATTAGTGTTTCATTAAGTTTCATCCGACCATAGTAGACTCAAAAACACACATACAAAGGGCCAGTTTGGCATTGTTGTGCTGTGAAAATAATCGCTATCAAATTTGTTGTGAGAGAAAGCAGTTTGGCGTTTGGTAAACTTTTTATTAAAAGTGTTGTTGGTACTGATTCCCGCATAATCAGAAAATGATTGCCACATAATCATAAAACCCATCGCCTCTTCGAAATTGATTCCTGCATAATCGAAAAATGAAAGCACCTCATTAGCTGCTTTCCCTTATAACTTTCTCTCACATCAATTTTTAACAATAAGTGATTTTCTCATAGTTTACCAACAAGCTGGACTTCCAAAAAAAATTTAAAAATCACTTATCACCCCAAAAATAAGCAATGCCAAACTATCACAAAGTCAGTTGTAATAAAATAATTTAAAACGCAGATGGACCAAGTAGTTTTGGATGAGAATAGTGCCACTGTAAAGTTGTTATAATCACAAATTTCAAACTCAATTAGAAAAATTAATATACAATATTTCAAACTCATTTAGAAAACTAATAAGTTAACCATGGTTAAGATCAGAAATAATTATTGGGTTAGGGCTAATACTTGAATATTACTTTGGTGGTCATATGATACATGTTTAAGTTGTGAACATGTTTGGAAATTGTGCAAAAAGCACAGAAATTTCCTAAATATTTTCGTTTTTGGAAATTTATCTCGATACATATATTTTACCCATATTTTTGTTGATATTTAGGGTAAGAAAGAGACTAAGTTTTGGGATTTAGGGTAAGAAAAAAGGGGAGAAAAAAACTAGTGGTAGAGGTCTCTCCATGGTAACTCTTTGTGATTCAAATTCCTTGGCCGACACAACTCATACAATACGGTAATTAAATACATTTTGAATCTCCATTTTACCCACACTTAGTGCTATTCTTGTATTGATAGTTGACTCTAGGGATTCATTTCCAAATTCTAAGTATTAATCTCACGGATCAATAATTTTCATATTAAAATTTGTTTTCGTTTTTGAAGTTAAATTGCAATTGATTGCCTAAATCCATGTACTTGTGCTATTTGTTGATTCATGTTTTTTTTAATTAAAAAAAGTGATAGTCTAAACTAGAAGAGGATGGGGGTTTCTTAGTTCTTACACACATACATTACCAAGTTGTCATGGGGGCATGGTCGGTCCAGGATTTTGTAAGGCCCAGGGCAAATTTCTAGGATACAAATTTAGTTATATACCCAATCTTAGATATAATCTTATCAAGAAACCCTATACCATTTAAAAACTATAAACACACACAAAAAAAAACCCAAAAATCAACAATTGTCAATTTTTCCAATTTAATTGCTATTTTTTAGTTTATTTGTGTGTGTAAAATACCTATATTGCCCTTGTACTATGGATTTGAGAGAGAAAAATTAGATCTGCCAAAAGACCAAAGCAAATCTGCCAAAAAACCAAATCTGTCAAAAAACAAAATTTGCCAAAAAATCAAATCAGATTCATTTTCTCCTTTCTCGCTGGTGCTTTCTCGATGTTGGAGCAAGAGGAGCTTTCATTGAAGCTCAGTCTCATGTCCAACTATATTCTTCATCTCTGATCTAAAATTTTCAATATTTCACCTTCGATTTCTTGTTCTAAAATCGGGCTTCTATTCTTTTTTTTTTTTTTTTCGGATTGTTCGGAACCTCGAACGAACCTTGATCAGATGCTCTTGGCTCTACTCCTCTTTCGCCACGTCATTGTCGCTGTCGTCGTTTGGTTTGGACTTGAGATTTTTGATCTTTTGCTTCAATTATGTATTTCTCTTCGGATTTTAGTTTATTTTTAGAATGTATTTTAAGCTTTGATGATCGATTTATCTTTTGTTACTATTTCAGTTATAGATCTCATTTTTGTTTAATAATGTACTTCTACAACAGAGTATTAACATTGTACTTCTATTACATAATAGTATTAGCAATCTAGGCTCGGCTTGTTTTGAGTTGGGACGATATTGTCCGCTTTGGGCCCCCCTCTCTACCCTCACGGTTTTGTTTTTGGGAGCTCACGAGCAACTTCCCAGTGGGTCACCCATCCTGGGATTGCTCTAACCCCCAACTCGCTTAACTTCGAAGCCAGCGAGCTCCCAAAAGGCCTCGTGCTAGATGGATGCGGGCATGTACATATAAGGCACATCACCCCCTCTCCGTTGGTCGATGTGGGATCTTACAATCCACCCCCCTTAGGGGCCCGACGTCCTCGTCGGCACACTCGCACCACACGGTAGAGTGGCTCTGATACCAAATTGTCACCTCTCGGATTGGCTCCGCCGTAGCACGATATTGTCCGCTTTGGACCCCCTCTCTGCCCTCACGGTTTTGTTTTTGGGAGCTCACGAGCAACTTCCCAGTGGGTCACCCATCCTGGGATTGCTCTAGCCCCCAATTCGCTTAACTTCGGAGTTCCCATAACTCCGAAGCCAGTGAACTCCCAAAAGGCCTCATGCTAGATGGATGCGGGCATGTACATATAAGGCACATCACCCCCTCTCCGTTGGTCGATGTGGGATCTTACAACAGGGGTAGACATGCATTAGAAATAGGATGTCATAGGAAACTAGTAGTGTTATTACCCTAGATTGGAACATTACAGTCATTAATCAACATGACAGTAAACTAGCAGTGTTATTACCCTGGACTGGAATATTACAGGGGTAGACATGCATTAGAAATAGGATGTCATAGGAACTAGAAATGTTATTACCCTAGACTGGAACATTACATGGGTAGACATGCATTAGAAATAGGATGTCATAGGAACTAGCAATGTTATTACCCTAGATTGGAACATTACAGGGGTAGGAACTAGCAATGTTATTACTCTAGATTGGAACATTACAGGGGTAGACATGCATTAGAAATAGGATGTCATAGGAAACTAGTAGTGTTATTACCCAAGACTGGAACATTACAGAGGTAGACATGCATTATAAATAGGATATCATAGGAAACTAGCAGTGCTATTACTCTAGATTGGAACATTACAAGGGTAGACATGCGTTAGAAATAGGATGTCATAGGAAACTAGCAATGTTATTACCCTAAACTGGAACATTACAATCATTAATCAACATGACAGTAAACTAGCAGTGTTATTACCCTTGACTAGAACATTACCGCCATTAATCAACATGACTATAAAGGTGTGGAACATTACAGTCATTAATCAACATGACGCGTTGATGAAGCTACGGTTTTCAAGATGTTTTGTATGTAATGAATTGTTTGCCTTTTTTTATAAAATTGGGTTGGGCTTGTTTTGGGTGCTTTTTAAGTTTTTTGTGTTGGGCTTCTTTTAAGTTGATCAATGGCAATCACGTCATTTATAGGAACTTCAACATCAATTTCTTATGTAGTAAATGAGTTTTGGTTGTGTTTCTAAAGTGCATTCTATGTGGGGTTTTTTAAAATAATTTCAGCCCCTATTTTGGGTATATTAGTGGAGCTCCCGTAACAATTTTTTTTTTAATTAATAAAAACACACAAACAATAACAATAAAACTAATGAACAAAGAAAAATAAAACTTGGATTTTGAGCATCTTTTCTTCAACTCGAAACTTCAAATTTCCAACTGTAAATAAAATCTCTACTGAATTTTTTGCTAAATCAAATAAAAAAAGAAAAATAAGTTAACAAAGATGTTTTTTTTTTTTTTTTTTTTTTTTTTTTTTATTACAAAAATCCTATTATACATCTATAACCTTCAAATTGCTAATGCTTCCAATGTGTGTTGCTGTCACTACTAAGTCTTTTTTCGGCTAAGATAAGAACGTTTGTTTGTTTGTTTATTTTTTTTTAAGGACTCTTTATTTCCATATATTTAGTTTCATTAATTTTTATTTTGTAGAATATTATATTATATAATTTATATTTAATTTCCTAGAGATTCTCAAAAAGGTTTGTGCTGCCATGATTTAATGATTACGGCTACTTCCTATTAGGACATTGACGGGTTGGTTTTTTTTGTTTTTTTAGTTAATGTAAATATATAAGCTAAAAAACCATATTTTTGTGCCCCCCATGGTTTTCGGCCTTGGGCCAGGGCGGCTCTGCATAGGGATTCGAACTTGAGACCACTGATCTACAAGTGAAGGTCATTTTTTACTGGGCCATACCCCGTTGACATTTGTTGATTCATGTTTAAATTGAGCACGGTCTAAAGTTTGATAGTATCACCTTAAACATGGTCTAATTCAGTGGAAAATGACCTTATTTTGCAGACCAATGGTCTCAGATTCGAACCCTCATAGCACCCTGGTTTGACAAACTCCCTCCCCCTTGTAATTTAAACTATCACTTGTATTTAAAAAAAGAAAGTTTGATAGTATCATTGAAACTTAACTTTTCTTTGAGTGAGTATTGTTTTTAATACATTTTACTATATATGTATATATATAATTTCTCTCAATATTAATTCTCATCACCATTTCTGTTGATATATATAAATATTTTTAATAATGCCGTTGATATTTCCATTACCATTGGCGTTTAACAAGCCTGTTGTGACATTTTTTCACATGAGCTAGGGCCTAATTTGAAAGCTTTTTGGATTTGGGTTAGAAAAAAGAATGGTACTGACAAAAAACTGGTTGATGAAGGGGTTGACGCAGTTTGGTTTAGGCCTCAAACTGCAGACCAAATCAATAACATCATGGTCTAGATTCCTCGTTCATCGAATGAAGTAGCCAATCTTTTGGCAATGCTAGCAAAGGAAAGGATGCGCATGGAAGTGTGGGTCATTAGACCCCCATCTTTTTTGACCCATGTTCTAAACAAAGATGGTCTCCCCTACCCTCCAAGTATTTAGCTCCATATTTCCAGCTGGATGGAATGGACACGTGTTAGGCTCCTATGTCCTTGCTCATGTAACTCCTTTAGCTGTTTTATCTTTGGCATTAGCAGTGTTTTGCTTTTGGCCCCTATTAAATACAGTGAGGAGCTAGGGGTAACCATAGTTCCCCTCAGGACCGTGTTTCGCAAAAAAATTGATATCGAAATGGTTTTGAAGATGATTCCCAGAGAAGAGATGTTTCGATTCTCTCACCGGGTTTCTTCACACCGGCTTACAGTTGAGGAGGCTCCAATACTCGAGAGGGTTTTGTGGAGTTGGATATAGCAACTACCCCACACCCGAAAAGTGGGATTAATCCCCTCTCGTGGTTCGGCTTGCTCCTGACCATAAAGTGATTTCAACGGGTTTTGAACCCATGCCATTAAGGCACTAGGTAACTCGCTAGTTGAATGTGGCAATTTGCCAACCACACCACACAACACCTTGTGGTTACATATATAAGTTATTCATTTTAGAGCAAGTCCAGCGGACAGCCTAGCCCAAGGCTGGGGGGAGGGAAAAAAAAAAAGTTGTTCCAGCGGACAGCCCAGGCCCGGGGGAGGTGTGGGACCCACCAACTCGGGCTGGCCCGAAGGCAGCTTCCGCCCGAGGTTCAAAACGAGGGCGGTGACGTCACGCTCAACGTCAGGCTGACGTCAAGCACGCGGGGTCACACACTGGAAGCCACGTGGCATGCCCCAGCGCTCCGATTTGCTTCTACAGCCTTCATCCAACGGCTGGCGTTTTTCCAGCAATAAAATTATGAAAAAAAAATCGAAATTTTTTTATAAAAAATACTTTAAAATTCTGATTTTTTTTCCTATAAATACCTATCAATACCCTTCACTTTCAACACCAATTCTCATACATTTTATTCTACTTATACTATTACTCAACATTTTATTCACTCTTCACTCAACATTTTCATATCTTTCACCTTGTATTTTTATTTCTTATTTTTATGGCTTCTTTTATTGAAATTCATCCGAAATTTGAACCCAAAAATCTTATCCAGAAATTTTATCCGATTATGAATAGTCTTGACACATAGGAACCCGGAAATCTTATCCGAAAATATTATCCAAATTAATTATTGAGGTAAAAAAATTTGTAAAAAAAACAAAAAAATGAATAGTAATTGCCCTTAGCCATGACAACGGGTGAAAACACAAAATATACTATTTATAAGGGCAACCACTATTCACGTGAATAGTGGCTGCCCTAGCTCCCCCTTGCCATGGCTAAGGGCAAATGGGTGGAGTTGCTCTTAAAGATAATAACCCCACATGGATATTGGATATGTCCTGGAGACACATTCACAAGGACAATTTTGAATTCTCTCCAGATACGGGGACCCGACCCGGTCACTCTACGCGCTACTTTCTCTCTCTTCCCAGGTCCAGCTGTTCCATGTGGACTCAAACTCTAACGCACACGGTGTTACGTTGGCAATTACCTCAAATCACCAAGCGACGCGTGTCCCGTCCTACGTGGTTTAGCCAATCGCCGTGAAGGCTGTGAGTCCGTGACGTCGGGGTCGGGGACCTTATCATGAATTTGCTAAATATATAAACGTCAAAAAAACATAGCTCTTTTTGTGATAGAGAAATAAGGGCGAGAGTTTGAACTTGCAACTCGCCTTGGCTGAGAGAATTGTGAGAAGGAAGGGGAAAAGCCTGCAAGGAGAAGTAATCACCTGCGACGCTCTCAACTACCGGATCGGATCTACCCGTAACCATGGTAACTCTCCCGTGCTCTCTTCGTCCCTTTCATCCGATCTGTGTAATGTTAGATGAAATCAAATTGGGTTTTCTACGTGCTTATGATTTGATCTAGATCTGTAATAGTATTACAAAATTAATGGGGTCGGCTATTTAATTGAATTGAATGGCATTAGGGTTTTGATGGATGTGAAATTGGGATTATAATGATCATGATGAATTTTAATTTTTGTAATTTTGATTTTGATTTGGGTTTGTGGTGCTGCAGACGACTTCAAGGCGTTTGGCTGATAGGAAGGTGGAGAAGTTTGAGAAGAACATAACAAAGAGAGGGGCGGTTCCTGAGACAACCGCCAAGAAGGGCAAGGATTATCCTGTTGGCCCTATTCTCCTTGGATTCTTCGTCTTTGTTGTCATTGGCTCATGTATGTCTCTCATTATTCAATTTTACAAATGGAAAATTTAATCTGATATGATTCAATTCAGTGATAGCTAGACTTTCCTAATTGAAATCATTCTATCAATCCCCATAATTGGTAAATTATATCTGGATTTTAGCTGCCATTTTAATGCTTATTTTGGTTGATCTACATTATATTGTGTCTGCATGCACTGGCATTTGTGAAACATTGGGGGATAAAAGAAAGCTGAAACCTTTGAGCACCCATTGTGTCTGCATGCCTGAAGGAAATGTTTGAATTTGTGCCATTGCCTTGATCTGTGTGAGGTCAAGAGGGGTTCTGTTATTTGGGTTCATTTTATTATCTCCCTTGCATGGTTTATGTGCATTGCATTGCATGAATGGTTTTGGTGGTTTTGTGATCTGAGTTTTTTTTTTTTTTGTGAAACAGCTCTGTTTCAGATAATCAGGACTGCTACAAGCGGAGGCATGGCCTAATTGAAGATTAGCCTGCGGCTGATGCTTCTAAGTTGTGAGAGATGCATCAGACTGCATCAACCAACCAGTCGTGTTATTTACCGTTGTTTTGTTAGCCAGTAGGAAACTGATGATATACAATGTGATGTAGTACTAAAAACAGTGGTGTTTCTATCTTGTGAAGTTAAAAGAAGTTTGAATAAAGGAACCCCTTCCTCTGCTTCACTTAATTTTAGATTTTTGTTTTTGAATTTTGCATTACACATAACTTATCCGAGCTACACAATTTACCTCCAATTGGGCAGTTTAGGCCATTCTTATGTCTGATGGTTTGAGGTTTTTCGAGAATAAGTTTTGTATTCGTATAAATCTCGTCATTCATTTTTCACAAGAACTTGCACAATCATTGTCTTTCTTTCCCTGACATGTAGGAAAAAGGTAATTCGATAGTTAAGCTTAGGGCTCTGAATGCCCAATTTTGGATTTTATTCGTAGTAAAATTATTCATTCCAAAAGTGAATTTCGGTTTACAATTACCATACAGACGAGATTGGATCACAGGTCTTACTATTTTTTTAGACAAACGATGCTTACCAAGTTGAAGAATCTTGCTTCAAACTTGTCTGCGTATGTAATTCGATGGTAATTCAGAAAATGCAAAACTCACCACAGAGACGAGCATGTATTGCATTTGTTTACCCAACATCAACTGGCATTGTTTAATACAGCAGTTATAAATATATACATAATGTATTCTAAAAGAATACACCTGCAAACATTATATAGTAGAGGAGATGGTTTATTTCAGTTCAACCAACAACAAACACAGATACTATAGTACACTCATCCAGGTGACTGAAAAATAGGCATTCTAACCTGTCTTCAGGATTCAAAGCAATTTGTCAAGTTTGCACACAAATGAGGAAATCTCTGGATGTCATAAGACCCATGGAATTGTCTACTTCATTAAAACAAATAACGAAAATTGGCTAGAAACAAGTTGGCCGTGAAAGCTTGCAACCAACTGTGATAAAACGGATAGTTAAGGAAAACTCCCATTCTTGACAATGCTGAAGCCCACCGGAAACAGAGAAATCTGTTTCAAGCCACAGCAGTCAGGCATGGATAAAATGCAGTGCCACATGCAATCCATTGCCGCTTCCTCCCATGTGGCACCACGCAACCAGGGACCTTCAGCCATTCCCTGCTTGACACATTATATGTAACCAATCGGTTCATCTGTCTTGACCTCAAGGACAACATGAGCAAGCCTTTGTTACCCAGGCAAGTCATCCTTACGTGCTTTCCATAGAACTCCAAGCACCATATATTTGGCATTCTGTCAACCTCCTTCCATAGAAGTGTCATTTTCTGCAGCTCCCAAATGCACACGCACGTGGCAGCATTCTTTGTCAACAACCCCACTAGCATGATCCGGCCTCCACATTCAGCAAGTGTGTGGTCAGTCAGATGCAGCGGGGTGGGAATTATAAACTGCTTCCAAATCCCAGAGACCATATCATATGACACAATCCCTTCAGGGTCTGAACGCATGAAGTAGAGTGTGTCATCAATTGAAACAGCCTGTGACCGGAAATTCAGCGACAGGGGCAGCTTAACACTCGACGGCATGATTCCAGGACGGATCCAAGAATTCCTCACGGAATCATAGACTTCATACTCGCCATCACAACCCACCCATAGGATCTTGTATCCCTCACTAGTTGAACTCCCATTCAGAGTCATCCCCACAGCAACACGAGACCAGACCTTGACTGACCTGGCTGGCAACTCTTTAAAAGATTGATTCAGAGGGTTGCACACATAGAAGTTCCTATTACCAATATCAAGAAAACACACCAGCCCCCCCGCTGAAGCAACTGGCAAAACAATCAGCTTTGTTGGCAGAGAAGAAATGGTGGGATGGTGCCACTTCTTCAAGGATGGGTCATACATGGCCCCAGAATTCACATTTTCATGAGTGATGGTGTAAAACCATGGAGTAGCTTGTGGGACCTCCGCACAATGTTGAGAGAAACTTTCAGAATCAAGCAAGGAATTCCATTTCCTGCAAACAGTACGAAATCGGAAAAATGTGGCAATGGGAATCCTTGCAATGACAGCTTCATAAAGGTCTTCCGGGAAATCTTTCCAAATATGCTGTTCCATAGGCTCAGTGGTATTGGTGGTTCCAGATGATTTACCCCGGGTTCTCTCCTTACGAGATCTCTTAGTAGGAGGCGGCTTGCAAGGTTCCAACATCTTCAAACTTCCAGATTTTCCAGCTGCCATCATAAAACTGTAGTAATCATCTGGAGAACCTTCATCAACATTAATTGGGCACCACCTATGTAAAATGCAACAATAAAGTTAATCCTACACTCCCTACTTGAGGAACTTTACTGCACTTGCAGTGAAAGAAGAAGCAAAATACTGAAACGTACACACATAAAGGACAGCAAAGTACATAAACATAAACCCGTGAGAAACTATAACAAGTCCTGAACCATTGAGTTAAAAACATGTCAAACAAATGGTTCCTATCAAAATTATAAAATACGCCAAATGGGAGATCATTACTACAAGGTTTTCTTTGGTTTAATTTCTTTTCTCAGAGAATTGATTCCAGTCTACTTTCTGACAAACAGGCGAAAAAATTGACTGACATTCTATTAATTTACCTGCTGCAGGTCCCCAGTTAGCCATGATGTGGCACATATTTATCGAATTTTCATCGGGGCTACAGGGTCCCTTGGCCTTAAATATTAGTTTAAGAAAATTTCAATAACTTCTGAAAAGAATGAAGCTAACACTAGAGCAAGGAGTTGATGAGAAATGAAAGATATTGAATTTAAGAGCCTAACTTAAAGAGACAGGAAGGGTCATGGATGCAGTAGTAGGCAAGACCTATGACATCAAATTTTGAAGGTTCCACCACAAGAAAACTGAAATCAAACACCAAGCATAAGTTCAACAGACATGAAGTGAACAAACTGGGAGACCACATGAACATATCAAGATAACATTTTGTGCGTTGAAATATTCAACTTTAAGAAATGATGCTCCTCCCAAGTGTCCCTGCAAGATTCTCTTGTACTATAAGCTAGTCTTTATAAAGTTTGAGATTGTCTTTGTCTACGGCAATGAGTGTCAAGCAACATATTGTTAAATGCAGGAATCCAAGTTAGCCAGTTTAACAGAAAGGAAGTGAAGATAACCAAGGAATACGTATTATGCAAAACAACCTATCCCAAATAAAAAGAGAAAAAGAAGCTCATTTCCTGTGGAGTACACAGGTGAGCCATGGTTTTACATCAAATTCTATAAAGATAATATGCTGGCAGTTTATTGAACACTAAATATGAAGAGGTGTTACAGGTCAATGCATTATATGTAAACGGACAGCACAGGAAACCAAAAGCTGAAGTTATGTGTCATATTTAACCAAAACTAATTGTTTTCATTCGTTACCCAATGTAAAATGAATATCACATATCAATTAACCCAACGTGGCATGATCAATTCAAGGAAGATGGTTCAGTTGGTGGTCCATATTTTCAATCATGCGTTTATCAGATTATTCAAGTTCTGGGACCTAGCTGTTCTTTTGCTCCTTTCCTTTTCTGGTTTTCTATGATAGACGCTATCAAATGGTTCTAAAATAGAAATGGCAACCGTGAATAGGTTCGAGTTGACCATGAACGTTCTCAATAACAACATCGAACCCCAACCCCGGCTGGACAGTCATAAAAACAAAACCAAAGAGGAAAACAAGAAACTAAGATCAAATACTAAATAGTGCGGTTAAGCCCATCAATTTTGTGCCAGGGAATTTAGCTAAACATAAAAGGAAGACATATGTGCGATTAAATAGATGAAAAAGGCAGATTCTTTAAAGAAAAGTCTTTTAACAAAATTAAACCCAACTCCGACAATGGCACGCTATTCATCAAGAACAATCAGACCCAATTTCTCAATCCTAAATGTCAAGAAAGCAAACAAAGAAAAGCAACCAACTTCAGCAAGAAAAGAAAAGAAAGCCATGTAATTTACACTTCAGATAAGAAAACTAAAATAAAAGCAAGCAAGCAGAATAAAACTATGAATACCTATAAAGCAGGAAATGAAAGAGGAAGGAGAAATTGAAGAGATGGTGGGAAAGAAAGGGAATTTGAGAAGGTGAGAGAGATCCACAACTAGAAAAGAGTGAGAGACCTTGGGTGTTGGCGCTGTTGGTGCTGCTGTTGAGAGTGATGATTGAGCAGAGGAAGCTGAAACTGAAGAGAAGGTTGAAGATGAAGATGATGATGTTGTTGAAGATGGTAATGAGGGTGAGAGCCGTAGACTTCAACGAGCTCCTGAAGCTGACCGATGAGCTGCCTTAGCATGGCCAGCCCTTCCATGCCCCTCTGAGGCTCTACCTCTCGCAATTAACGACCCAAACTCCCAAACAAAAACAAAAACCAGTCTTTTTATTTTCCTCTTGTTATTTACTCAAAAAATTAAATAAGACCAGAAGACCTCCCGTAACCAGAGAGCCCCTTCCTCTCCAAAGGCTCCTATCCCCATCCCCAGCCCCCCAACCCAACCCAACCTCCACTCTCTCTTTCTTTCTTTCTTTCTTTCTTTTCTTTCTTTGCTTCTCTCTCTTCTCTCTCTCTCTCTCTCTCTCTCTCTCTGATTGCAATAGCTACTCTTCCTTTACCACGTATGCACGCCCATACCATTAACTTGTACTCTCGCTCATTATTTTAAATCCCCCTTCATGTAAATTTTTGATATTACAGCAATATCAATATCCTCTTTTTTTCCAACTTTACCCTTGCACGATGTTTTTTTCCTCCAACTAGACATGGCATATTTTTAGGGTGACAATTTGTAGGTGTTTGTAGGTCGCGTTCAAGTCTACACCCTTCGTATTCTAATACTAGTTGCTTTGAATATGACCCATTTAGTCATTGGGATGACTCACATCTATTATAAACTAAAAACTTGGAGCTAAGTCTTTGTTATTATAGATGAAATAAGAATGATGTTGAGAATTTAAAGAAACTTTAGTTGTTGAGGCGATATTTATATAATCGCTTCAATTCCAATATATCAAAGACATTCTAAAACAAGACTTATGACTTAGTTCACTTTCATCTTGGTAATGATGAAACCAAGAAAACATAATCCTACAATTAGAATATGATTCCAGTCTGTAATTATAAAGCTTGCCCCTTCCTTATGGCATACTATATTTTAAAGTAGTAGGGTATAAAGGTAAATTCAAAAGTCATGAAGTTTTTCCTTGGCAATTAAAAGCCGGAATATTATTGGAGAAAAAAAAGCGGTATATTGAGTGTTTTTGGCAATCCACGTGTGTGAACGGAAGGTTATAAGTTGATGGTCAAGGAGACCACGGGGGAGAGAACTTTTTGAAGCAGCAATGCATTAACTTTTAGAAAATCAACGGTTGTGGTTAGATCTCTCGAGGCTCTTTCTTTCTTGTCCTTGTTCCACGCACACGGCATGATTGTCCCAACACTTTTTCCATTTTATGATATAATTTTGTTAGAATTACGGATGTACCTACTTGATACCTTTTACTGGTCTTTCTACTCATTTCCCATAAGTGCCCCAAGTACCTTGTTATTATTGATCTTGTTGTTCCCCTACTTCTCCTTCTTCTTCCTTCCCATTTCTTTTCTTTTAAGTTTTCAAAACTATGATATGTTTACTTATCCGAAATGGGTATTGAAATCATTAACGCATGAGGAAAAAAAATATACGATTCTCCCATTACAACCCGCAATACCTGAAGAATCAAGAATAAACTGCGTATGAGAATAATTGATATCGTACTCATTTCTTTTATCCCTTATTCTTGCTCACTTCTTCGATTTATGACTCACTCAATTCCAAGTAAGGTAAACATGCTATTGCAATTCACTATTATTGCTAAATATTGTTTTGCTTTTTGGCCTACTAATTCGGTGACAAAGTATTAAGCTTTATGAATACTTTATTACAGCTTGAATAAAAAAGATGACATTGATTTTGAAAGCAAAAGCATTTAAAATAGAAAATGCCAATGAGCAAACTTGAAATGCGTTGCCTTCATGTGTAAATAAAAACCAAAAATAACATAGATGATATCCACCACTAAAAACTTGATAAAAAAGATATAAAGAAAGAAAAGAATCGCATACATTCCCCCCCTGCAACTAACTGAAATGAGTGATAGCAGCAACCTTGTCTTAAGCAATCATACAATTCATTTTGTAAGCAAAATGGCCAATATACTCATTCAACCATACACGAAATGATGATCATGAAGTGACTAATAAGTGAGTGGGTTTTTTTTTCTTTTTCAAAAATTTCCCAAATTATATATTAAAATCGTGTAATAAAGTGCAAATTACAAGAGTCTAAATCTAGCTTAGAAAGATTGATAAAATTGGTTTAGTGTTATTAACCACATGTAACATGTTCCTTGAGAATTGAGCATATGGGGATAGTTTGGTGACCATGTATAGATGCAGTTATTTGAAAGTTTCTCTCTTCTAGACTTGTGGCACTTTCCTTTACCTAATAGATTTCTTACAAGATGGACTGTCGCACGCCATTTTGATTGCCACCCCATTACTAACTCGCCACAACCCCCCCATCCCTGAAGTCATTCCCCAAATGATGCAGTAATTAACAATTGCTTACAGCCACAGCATATCTGAGCTAAATTGTTGCTTCAAGGCTGCAATTTAAACCCTCCCCCCAGTATAAACAACAGAGAATTATGCTCGTGAATGATTGAATTTAGCATTTTTGATGATTTATATTGGACTCAATTTCTAATGGAATGCAATCCAACAAAATAAAGTAACAAAAGAAGAAGAAGAAGAATAAATAAAAAGTGGGAAATGGTATGGGAGGTAATTTGAGATGGGGAGGTGGAGAATTTGGTAAAAAGTGGGAAGTCATGATGAGTTAGAGAGGCTAAAGTTAAGGTAAGAGGGAAGGTTTTGAAATGAATGATTAGGTTTGTCAAAACCAAGGGGGGGATGCGGTGGGTAATGATTTCACATGGTCTAGGGAAGACAAGTTTTAAGTCATTTTGGTGGTGGGTTTAAATGGTATAATTGCTCATCATAATCATCATCATCGATTCCCTTCTTTTACGTGTGCATAAGTGCATTCCATTCCATTCCTTTGCCTCCCTTTTCCCGTGTGGTTGCTTTTTTGAACCTTCACTAACTCACTCACTCACTTAACCTTGAGATCTTCTCCAATCCATTTGGTCTTAAATTCAAATTCCGCCTCCCCCAAAAGTAATTATTTGGATTTTGTTTGGACTCAAATCGTTTTTTTCCCCAACCTTTAGACTCAAATTTTTAAGTATGTAATTTTATTAAATTGTATAATAATGGTTTAAGTTTAATTTTGTTTTTCATAGATAACTTTTTTTCATTTAATCTTTTTTAATAACTTCATAATTTAATTTTTTAAACAATTTGACCTATAAAAATTTAAATTCCACAAATATAATTTTATTTGAGAAATGGGTGGGTATTTATAGAGTTTGGAGTGAGGTTTGGGGTTGGATCTAATTTAGATTAATTTAAAATATTATTTTGACTATTGGATTTAAATTTCAAACGTTAGATTTTTTTTTTTCTCGTTAAAATAGCATGGATTTAATTTGGGTTACTGTTGGAATAAAAACAAAAAGATTATAAAAAAAAAAAAAGATGTTACACTAGAGCGTGACACCCCTATGCATCACGGTAGACGCGACCCCCAATTTTTCCTACTTGCACGTGGGCTGCTTCTGGCTAAGTGGGCTCCACCAAAAAAAAATATTCATCCCAGACTGGTATTTCCCCCTAGATATGGGTTTTCCTAAATTTTAGCTCCTTACTTTTCTTGGGTTAAGAGAGAAATTAGACTAAAATTTAGGATTTTTTGGGTTTGGCCTAGTGGCTTGGAGATGGTCTAACCTATTATATTTCTAATCTGTCCTAAGCTCATTTCCATCTTACATGTTGGGCTACTTGGGCTATAAATGCAAAGTTTTAGTTGGGGTTTGTTCTATGGTGAGGGTGTCATATATGGATCATAGAAGTGAATCTTCATATTAGCTATATAATTCATCTGAATAGTAACTTCACTTAAGTTTAATGAAATGATTCTATAATCAATATGAAGGTCCACATGAGGAGTCCATATATGGCACCCTCACTATAGAATTTGGCTTTGTGAATTATCCAACTATTGGAATTAGGTTCTAAATGAGACCTAAGTTTGGGAATGAAAGATTTTCTGTTTTCAGTGAAAGATGAGAGAAATTCGAATTTGAGACATCTGCTAACATTAAGTGGAGAATTTGGAATCATTGACATTGAATATGAGATAAATTTTACAGCTACAAAGTCTCCACGAGTAACAGTTCTACATCATATGTTCAAATTGAATGAAGAAAATCAAAAGAGAATTAGGTTACAAGCTAATCAAAGTTTTGTCCACCCCGTGGAAAATACGATGCTAATTGCTACATAGTTTCATTTCATGTGCCTCCTGCATGGTTGCCAATGCCGTGAAATGTCTTTTCTCTTTTGTTAGGCCTGGCATCACCAAAGCGTTGAAAAACCAGTAAACCCTCAAGAAGCTCAACAGCTTTCTTAATTGTAGGGCGGTTTCTTGGGAAGAATTCAACACAACGCATTCCCAGCTCTGTCATTGCAAGACCATCTTCATCAACGTAACCCCAGTCTTCCTGCAAGCTCCTATGGACAAGTGACCCATTGGGCTTGTATTCCTTCTTGGCCCAGTACTGTACTAAACAGTCCAGTCCCAAGTGGGGCTTTTCCGCACACTCTGGCTCAAAGCCTCTCTTGGCTATTAGGCCTAAGAGAATCACACCAAATGAAAACACATCACAGCTTGTGTGCCAAAAACTACCACCTGAGAAGAACAAAATGGATTTTACTTTTGGCAAAACCGAAAGTATGCATGCAATACAGTGACATATAGTTTTGGCTTTTGAAAAAAGCACCTTTTGCAGTGAAAAATGGATCAACAAAGCCAATGGAGATTGGTATCTGCTTTTTTAGTGTGGTCATTTCACCAATGATTCCTCCAGTAATGTGTCCAAAATCAAATAATTTCGGCCTGCAATCCTGAAAATCAAAGTAGAAAAAGATGATTAAGATGAAGCCAGCAGATTGCAAGAAGACTAAAACAAAAGACAAAAGCTAAAAGGATAGATAGGTTCAAGAGCTTTCACGTCTGAATGAAAATGAAAGGCAGTAGGTCCAAACCCAATCCAGCATTATATGAGATGAATTGATGTTCAACACCAAATATGGCTTGTCCTGGTTGTGTAGAAATTCAAGGAGACGTGCAAATTGGAGAACCACATTGAGCCTCTGAACCCAATTGAGATAATCTGTATGGGGTCATATCAATCTTTCCGTAGTAAAAAAAAACTTAGCACAAGTTTCTTTTGAATATCAACATGTTGCTTAAAATAAATAAAACCCACAAGAAATTGAAGCTTTAAAACATAAACTGAAGGCACCTTTCACTGTCAAATTATGCAGAGTATCCCATGGATTGAGGTCATAGACAACAGCCTTGACTTCCTTTTCACAGCAATAACCAATCAATTTCACCAAGTTTTGATGACCATTTATACTTGGATGTGTTAAAAATTGAACTTCTTCCTGCAATACAAACCAACACAATAATAGCCGAAACCTTCCAAAACTAAAAAAGATTTGCAAGAGAGAGAGAGAGTTTTAAGTTTTGATTACTTTAAACTAATCTAAACTACGGGGAGAGATTCAAACTCGGGTGCAGAGTGGTGAGTAGATCCGCTCTAGCCAACTTGGCTAAGCCCATGTCTACAAGATAGTTTTAAGTTTTAAAACTTACCTTAACCATCAGAAACTCATCATGTATGGATGTTATGCACCTTGACTTCTCATCCCATATTTTGACTGTAACGGCTCGAGCTTGATCTGTTCCAATAAACCCTAGCTTAATCTGTCCTCTATATAATTTGCCAAACTGAGTAGCTCCAATCAGGTTGTTCTGGTGAAAACCATTGGTGCATGCTTTCAAGTCCTCTGCTGTAAACTCTTTAAGCTTTGCTGCACAATCCATCATGTTGCTAAGTAGCTCCTCAGCTCAGCCATAAACCAAATTTTAAATGATAAATTCAGCACCAAAATATATGGCAAGGAAGCTGGTGGGCTAATTATAATAGAACTAGCTCCTTATCTTCTCCTCTGTACATCCAACTTCAAATTTGAAGATCCAGTTCACAACATATCATCCCAAATTAGTATTAGACTTATTCAACAAGATGTCACTTGTGATTTATATATGAATTTTCTATTGTGTTTGTCCTTGAACGGTGTCGCTTTCGTTGTGATGCATCCAATGGTTGACTAATACTGATTCTACGATCCAGTTTTTGAATCTACTTGCAGGATTTTTAGGTTCATTATAATATTCAAGAATTGCAACTAAATAAAAATTCTTTTTGTGACACCACGTACAAGTTGGAAAATGGAAACAAAGCTATAAAATAATCATGATCATAAGATAGAGAATATATAAACTTCGAATGGCACCTGATTCCATCACATCACACCAAAGCTAGATAAGTTTTATGCTCTGTTGCTCTATGTCACAGGGCAAGCCTAATGGTGGAGGCTACAACAACCACCATGTCCTATACAATTATGTATAGCTAAGGCTACAACAACCATATCCCAATTAATTTAATATAAATCCTAACTCATAACAAATTTTCCTAATTCGGCTCATATTAAATCTATAACCCTTAACAAGGGGCTTATAACTCGAGTGTTTAAAAGCAATTACTATTGCACTTGAGGTTCTAAGTTCAATTCATTTTCCCCCAATATCGCTGTATAAACAAAACAAAAAATAAAAATCTAAAGCCCTTAATCATATAATGTATATTATGTATAGCTAAAAGTACAATCGCAATAACATGGGAAACTGGTCAACTATAAGCCCAAATAATATTCCATAAAATATAATGTGATATGTTGCAGTAGAAAAATCCCAAAATATGGAACATATGCATAACAGCATTGCCCTGAAGTTGAATAGCTTGAGAATCTCATTTTAGAATGAGTGATGTTAGCTTGTGACAAACACATGATTCAACAAGTTCTCACCAACCAAAGCCCCATGGAATATCTCACCCTCACTTGTTTCTTAACAACATCTTCTTCTTTAACTTACTAATCCCATCTTCATTTTTCTTTAAAACCTGATACTAATCCCATGGAAATTCTCACCCTCACTTTGTCTTCCTTTAAAACACAGGTCAACTCTCCATTACATATCCACCATGGGAACTTTTGTGCACAACTCAGCCCAAGATGAGGAACATATTTTCCGAAGCCGAGCACCGGCTGTTCAAGTACCTGATAATGTCACATTGCCAGAATTTGTGCTTCAGAATGCTGAGTTATATGCTGATAATGTTGCATTCGTGGAGGCGGTGACCGGAAAGAAAATTACTTATGGGGAGGTGGTGAGAGACACTAGGAGATTTTCCAAGGCCTTAGGGTCTCTTGGCCTTAGAAAGGGGCATGTGGTAGTGGTTGTTCTCCCAAATGTTGCAGAGTATGCCATAGTTGCTTTGGGAATAATGGCGGCTGGTGGGGTGTTTTCGGGAGCAAATCCATCGGGGCATGCATCTGAAATTAAGAAGCAGGTGGAGGTAGCTGATGCCAAGATCATTGTAACAAATGGTGCAAGCTATGAAAAGGTAATGTTATCAGATCATAGCCCCAGTACTTCTGTTAATAATGCAGGCAGCTGTGGGCATATGGAATGATAATTTATAGTGCAATTTTAATTCTAAGCCTTTGTGTTGAGAATTTGAGATGTGCAGGTAAAAGGCTTTGGGGTACCAGTAATTGTGCTTGGTGAAGAAGTTATTGAAGGTGCTATGAATTGGAACAACCTGCTTGAAGCAGCAGACCGTGCCGGGAACAAAATCAATAAGGAGGAATTGAAGCAGTCTGATCTATGTGCCCTTCCCTTCTCATCAGGCACAACAGGACTGTCCAAGGGTGTAATGCTGACTCATCGAAACCTAGTAGCCAACCTCAGCTCCACACTCTTTGGAGTAACGCCGGAAATGATTGGCAAAGTCACTGTCCTAGGCCTAATTCCATTCTTTCACATCTATGGGATCACTGGAATATGTTGCGCGACGCTTCGAAACAAGGGGAAAGTGGTGGTGATGGGAAGATTCGAACTTCGGACATTTCTTAATGCATTGGTCTCACAAGAGGTCACATATGCGCCCATTGTGCCACCAATCATTTTGAACTTGGTTAAGAATCCAATAGTTGATGAGTTTGATCTGAGCAAGCTAAAACTCCAGGCCATTATGACTGCAGCAGCTCCACTTGCACCAGATGTCCTCAAAAATTTTGAAAACAAGTTCCCTGGTGTCCAAGTCCAAGAGGTGACACAGACAACAATGCCCTTCATTTTGTAAGTGCTGATTTTAACAGACAATTGTGTGTGTTTTTGGGCTGATTCAATTGTGCTTATTTTTAATTGTAGGCATATGGATTGACTGAACATAGCTGCATCACACTCACTCATGCCGCACCGGGTGTTATGGCAAAGAAAAACTCAGTTGGGTTCATTCTTCCAAATTTGCAAGTCAAATTCATTGACCCTGACACCGGCCGATCCCTCCCCAGAAACACCCCTGGTGAACTTTGTGTCTTGAGTCAATGTGTAATGAAAGGTAAAGGGGAGAGATTGATTGCATCAATAATCTGATGGCTCATGTTAATCACATGTTGATGTGATTCATGTGAACCTTTTGTCATACAGAAGTCAAATATGTCTGTCCTTTGTTAAGCAACATAATTTGAATTGACATTGTCGATAATGTATCGATAATATATATTGTACTAAGAACTTGCATATCTCATGTCATCATAACTTAATTTTCAGGTTACTACAATAATGAAGAGGAGACTGCCCGGATCATTGACAAGAATGGATGGCTTCACACTGGTGACATTGGCTACATAGATGATGATGAAAATGTCTTTATTGTGGATCGCATCAAGGAATTAATCAAGTACAAAGGTTTCCAAGTAAGATGGACCACTAATTATAACCCTAGATTAATGAAAGTTCACTAACTCAATGTCATGGATTTAAAAGTTGCGCTACTGATTAACTAGACTAATTCACATTTTCCCAAAATAGTTTCTAAATTAATTATGTTATGCAAAATCTGAAGGTGGCTCCAGCTGAACTTGAGGCCATCCTTCTGAGCCATCCCTCAGTTGAAGACGTTGCAGTAGTCCCGTAAGTAACGAAATTCGATTGATCATACATTGTTGTTCAGAAAGAAAATTACTGCAGTTTCTGTTTAGATTAAGGTGTTTTGGGGTTAATTTTCAGATTGCCAGATGAGGAGGCAGGGGAGATTCCAGCAGCAAGTGTTGTTTTAGCAGCTGGTGCAAAAGAGAGTGAAGAAGACATTATCAAGTTTGTGGCCTCAAATGTTGCTCAATACAAGAAAGTTAGAGTGGTGCACTTTGTGGACAGCATCCCAAAATCACCCTCTGGCAAAATTATGAGAAGGTTGGTCAAAGAGGCCATGATAGAGAAGATCAAGGCATGCAGGCTCCACACCTAAACCTAATTAAATCCAGTCTTAAATCAATAACATGGTTTTAAGCATATATCATTGAATTTGAACAACAATATATGTATCCCATCCAACTATCCAATCAAACCAGCATCACCAATTCACTTGATTATTCATCTGTGATTATCAAATTAAGCTCTACCATAATTAATAATTAATGAAAGCATCATCATACCAGCAAACAAATCCATAAATAAATAAAATAAAAAGAAAGTTGGGAGATGGGTAGGTGGGCTGGTTGGTTGATGGGATCTTAAATTTTTGAACATGAAGAATTTGACTGATAGCAAGTGTGTAACAATGATTATTGACTGCTAATCTCGAATGGAATTAAATTCTCGGTAATTCATGGAGAATTGACTCTGCACCAGCGACCATTACTAACAGCCTGGTACCTTGTCCAGGCTAGGGATATAAATATCATGGGACCTCATGATCATGTCCAACTCCAATCTATGTAGAATCCAAAAGCGAATAAGGTAACACTTGGTGTGCACTTGCCCACGTACCTTGATGCAGAATCACACATATTCATATACCAATATCAAATCAAATCAAAATCAAAATTCTTTCCTCCCTACCCTAGAAATAGCCTCCACCTTCAATAGAGTTGCGGAATAATGGGTGTATATTTATTGATACCCTACTCTAAATTAAAGTTTAAACTCGCCTCATTATCTTTGTGTATATTTACATAACACAAAGTGCCGTGAATTAATAAAACTGTGTGACGAAATTTCTCGCGAAATTAATTATTCCAAGAACTACGCGGCGTCCGTTAACTTTCGCCGGATTCTGAAAACAACGAACACCAATGGTAGCAAGCAATGAACAACAGTGAACGTGCCCACGTGGACCCTTCTCAGCATGAGATATTGAAATTCGATTTAATTAATTGATCTGATTATTTAAGTAATTGTTTCCATTTGCCAACCTCAATCCACACGAACTAATAGTTTAATAGACACAAGTTGGTTTGCCAAAATTAGTTTAATTATATCCGATGTTAAATTCAATATATTTGTGTAAACAAAAACAAAACCCAACTCGGCGCTCTTTGTCCAACGAATAACTTATTTTTATTCTTTCAATCACATCCCATGTTGATTTTATGTATCATAATTTATAATTAGTCCTAACATGGGGACACTCCGCCCATTTCTTTTATGTTTAGCATCATCGTCTAAACTAAAACTAGTTCAACTTGTTCATACAAGACACATTCCTAAGTTTACTTTCCTTAAACAAACAAAAATTCCCAATTAAAAAAAACCCACAACATGACATTGTTAACGTCTTTTGCCATTTAAACTTTAACCTAATTTTTATATTACACTGATTGCAGTCATACAAATATGTTTGGTAAGGTAAATTTTTTGTTTTCTCTACCATTTAGGTTGACCAAGATAGATTTCAGTAAACTCTATGAAAAAGGAAAATTTTCTCTAAGACAATCATACCACATAATCATCATATTTGCGTAGAGTATAAAGAGATGTGTCAACTAATATTATGATCAATAGTAACTCACTCGTATAATAATTTATGTGATGATTATTATAACGTGATATAACGAATTTTTTTTTAATAATTGATAAACCTAACTCTCTCTCTTTTTTGATCAGATTTTTTCTTTTAATACAAACAATAGCCTAAATACAAATATTACCAATGATATCACGAGAGTTCGAACACGAATGATATGTAAATTGAGGTATTTTCCATTAGGCCCTGTTGGCTCTTTGTCGGTTTTGGTGGCCGCTTTGCGTTTACTGAGAAATAAAGGGGGCTATAAAACAAAGCTGCCAAAGACCCAAAAGCAAAGCAAAAGTTGAATTTTACAGAAACAAACACAATATGAGTGTGGGAGAAAATGGCGGTACGTCTCTGTGGTCTTTTTCTACGATGAAAGATTGAAATTTGGAAAAGGAATGGGAATGCCAGGAAATGCTTTTCCCTTCTTTTTTTAATATCCTAAAAGCTTCTCTGCAACCTTCCACAATCCACCAAGTAAGTGTTTACTAATATTGAGCTCAGCTCAGCTCGCAATCATTTTCCCTTTTTGACTTTCTCTTTTTTCATCTGTATCTCTCTGTTGCTTGATATTCCATTACAAAAGTTGGATTTTTTCTTCACTCTTTTAAGCTGAATGAAATCGAAGAATATTACTAATCTGCATAAGTGGATTTGGAATTTTCGGAAAACGACGAGTAGCTGTGGTTCTGGTTCTGCTGATTTCAGATTTACATGTTTTTTGAGGAAACAAGAGAGTAATTATAACGAATCACGATCAAAGCTGCTGAAGTTTCTTAATTTGGGGAAGCAATTTTAAAATTTTTTGGAACGCCTCTCTATGTTTCCATATTTAGAGGTTCGACTTTATTGGGAAAAAAAAAAGTTTTTTGTATTATTTTCTTTCATCTTGTACATGAAAATTATTGGTCTTTTCTGGACAGGCCTAAATGGAATTTCTTTGAGGGGTCTGGTTCCAGATATGAAAAACCCCAAAATTGTTTTTCGAGTTTATGGGTCAATCAATATGGTTTCTTGGTGACTAAAGAAGGAAGAGGCTTGGAGGGGTTTGTTGGAGATATGGATGAATTTCAGAGGAATTGAGGTTAAAATGTTAACGTTAGTCTGCTAGGCTGTAGTGTAGTGAGTGGGGCTTATTCAATGACCGACTTTCAGAGATTGCGATGTTAATGAATGTGAATTATTGGAGCTAAAAGGTTTGTAAAGTACAAGCAAGGTATATGAGAAAAGGTGGCGGTAATAAGTAAAAGAAAAAAACATTATTAGAAATAATTGAAGAGAGAGAGACAGAGGTAATATATACATACATGTTTAAAGGTGGTAAATTTCAGCTCAAAATTTGCGGAAAAATGGGGAACCCTTGCCCATCCTTACTATGGTTCTGGTTGGTTGTAGTTTCTGAATAGGTGGGGCTTGCTAAAAGTACTAGATTGAGAAGTAATGACTTGGAAATGTGGAATACAGTAGGTAAGGTTTGGATTTATGTAATCAGTTTCTTTGTTTTGGTCGAATGGAGTAGATGGGGATTTAGCTGCAGAAGATTTACGGTTGGAAAGTGGTTTGTCCGCCGTGAGATGCATCAGGCAGTTGTATATTTAATTCCTTGGTCTGCATAGTTGGGCAGATCTGAGCAGCCTTGCTTCTTCAACTCATCCATACTCAAAGAATTCAGCACTGTTTCTTGCAAGGGTATTTAGGATTCGCTTTCTTTTACAGCTTCATGCTCCACCACTGCAATATTCATGTTCTTGTTCTTTGACAAAGTTTAAGGAACTTTGTATTCTTATTGACAAAGTATAATGCAAGGTTATTAGTTAATTAATATTGTAGTGTATTTCCTCCCATTTTCTTGCTTCATATATGCTTGTGTATATACATTCTTATGTTGTGGTTATATGTTTGCAGCATCTGGTGACCAGTTACTTAATTTGCATTATCCAAAGACGGTTTTGAAGTAGTTTTATGAATTCTGTGTTGCTGATGGAGTGGAATGAAAAACCTCCTTCACTATGGGATTTGGAGAACCTTTTCATGTTTGGTGCAAAAGTAACTGACAATTCCAAGAAGTTACAACCAGCAGACTGGGGTATTGAAGGGGAACGAGGAATGAACTCTGAATCTTTCTATTCAACTGGGGGTGATGGGGGCAGTGGTGTTTCTGGCTCTGATTTAGGAGATGGCTCATCAAAAAGTTCAAAATCAGCTTCCGTCAGTTCTTCAGTTGGGGAAAGTAAGAAACCCAATTTCAACCTTGATGCTTTTGAAGGTTTCCCGAATGATTTCATTCATAAAAATGAATCAGCTAAAGCTGAGGCCCTTGGATCTTCTCCAACTCATGAGGTTTCAGCTGGGTCGGGTGAGCCACTGCTCAGTCTAAAGCTTGGTAAGCGGATGTACTTTGAAGATGTTTGTGCAGGAAATAATCCTAAATCCTCTTCCCTTTCTGTTAAATCCTCGTCAATGGCAAAGACAAAGAGGAGTAAGTCCACTGGTCAGAGTGCATTTGCACCACACTGCCAAGTTGAAGGCTGCAATATTGATCTGTCCTCAGCCAAAGATTACCACCGTAAACATAGGATTTGTGCTAATCATTCGAAATCTCCGAAGGTCGTTGTAGATGGGGTGGAACGTCGGTTTTGCCAGCAGTGTAGCAGGTAAGCCTTGTTAGAGACTTCTTTTACGATAATGTAACCCAGCAATTACTTGTTTTCTGATATTTTGTTGTTTGTTCCTCCTACTCTAGCCTAAAGATCGTCTAGATTATCTTGCTTATCTATTTGTCTTAATTGCATCAATGTTTTGTTCTTTAATGTTCAATTAGAATGAGCTTCAGTTCCTTCTTGGCTTCAAACATAGATCTTAATATGCATGAATCCTTTGTATGTTAAAGGTTCCATGGCCTTTCTGAATTTGATGAAAAGAAGCGAAGCTGTCGCAGGCGACTTTCTGATCACAATGCAAGGCGCCGTAAGCCACAGACAGAAGCACTGAGAAATCCGACAAGGCTGTCCTCATCACTGTTCAGTACAGGTTTTAAACTCATACTGAAATTCTTGTTCTTCATGCTGCTTACTGACATACATCAAATCATGATATAGGATGGAGCTAACTGCTTTTGATTTAAACAGTATGTTTTGATAATTGTTTTAGAGTAGTCAAGAATGCAAACAAGTGAATATGAGCCTTATAATTAATATGGGTTTAGTTCAAGTTAGGAATGAAAATGAGGCTTACCTAATTTATCTCACACTTCTTGAGCTTGAGCTTTGACCAAATCAAAATATGAAAAAGTGAAACCTTTGCGGAAATAATGCCAAAGGTTTATTCTTTTTCCTGTGAAAATGAATGAAACTGACGGGCCTCATATGGAGATTCAACTTCTTGACCGGTCACATGTTATGTTTCTATTGTATATTCTTTAATTTGTAATTGAGTTATTTAGTACAGATCCATATGAAGCATCATTCAAGAGACCAAATACTATTAGGGTCATTAATCATATTGTTGTTATACCATAGTTACCTGTTAAATTTGTGCTGATTTTGCTTACCTATGCAGATGAGAGGCAACAGATGAGCCTTGTTTTGGACCAAGCCCGAAGTGTTTACACAAGGCATCCCTCAAACTTAACATGGGATGGCGCATGCAGCTTCAAGTTTGGACAAACGAAAGAATATTTTCCAAAGCCTGCAAAAGGAGGAGGCACTGGCGGGCAGCTGAATTTGGCCAACAATGGAATACCAAGTTCAATAACAATGCTGTACCATGATTCCAGTAGGCTGTCACCTTCGAAGGGCACTGCCACTGAGGTTCTCAACCGAGGTCTGTTATACTTCAGTGTCTTATTAATCATGATAAATTTCTCATTTGCTATTTGTTAGTTCAACTGCCTGACATGAACCAGTCACTTTTACCCTCAATCCTGTCTTAACATTTGTTTGTTTTTCAACATAAGAAATGTCTGGATTCTCCGCGGTCACCAAAAAGCCAAATGAAAACATTGCTTGAACATTGCAAACCAGTGCTCCTGTTTGCTAATCCCAATTTAAGTGGATCACAGATCATTGTAGATTCATAGTTCATAGATCGTTCGTATCTATTAACAGGTCATGTAACTTTTATTTGGTGATGTTTGCAGGTGCTGAAGAATCTATGATCTCTTTCAACCTGGGTGCAACACAGGATTTTCATCGTGCTCTCTCTCTTCTGTCAACAAGTTCGTGGGTTTCAGGCGAGGCGAAACCTGTTGCACTTGATAATAATACCAACCAAAATTATCAGAACATCCCTCAACCTGGGATGCAAGCGATGACCCAAGGTTTGCCAGTCTCATCAGAGTACTGGCAAACTCAACATCTATCCCTTAATACCCAAGAAGCACATGTCTCCCACTCACACAGTAACGGCAGCAACCACTTCCAACAGGATCTTCATCAGTTCAAAGGGCCCTATGAGTTTGGTTATCAGACCAACCAATTCAATTAAATTCGATCCAAATGACTGTACTTTTTGCCACATAAATGTCACCCTTATCAAGGTTAGTTCCTTCACCAGAGTTTGTTTCTGCATTGCCCATCTGATCTCCGGTTGTACCTATAATGTTAATAACTAAGATTTGCATGTCCACATTCAAACCGAAATATCTAGAATATGGTTTTTCCATGGCCATTGTGTTTTTTCGACACCTTAATGTCGATGATTTTGCAAGTTATGACCCGTAGCTATAGCCTATATACATTTTGTCTGAGAAAAAGAAACAAGTACGCTGATAGTGGAGCCGCTGATAACATTGTTGTTATTGTGTGGTCATTGTCTCCCAGGAACTCAGCACTGCTTTGGTTTTACAACCGACAAGGTTTCAGATCCTGCATTGTGTGGTTGCGAATTCAAGAGCTGTCTGTTTAATTTAATTTAGATGTACCATGTTATGTCATAAATAAATAATTTGGAACTCAGCACGGCTTTGCTTTACATTGTGTGGAATATATTTTCTTATCCTCCTCCTGACCCAGAATGTTGTATGGAGGTACATTGGACCTTATTTTAATTTATAATGACTACTGGTACATCAAATTGAAGGGCAATGGATGACCCATATGGCCCTCCCTGAGCTCAGATTGCTTGCAAGTTTAACAGTGAAGGGAAAGAATCCGTGTCGACATTTATTTTCCCGATCATAGAGAGGGGGCCGTGCACATACGTAAATCTCTTGCCAAGAATACCATTTGAATGTGCATGTATTATTTATTCTTCTGATAAACAGCGGTTTTGACAAGTACTTTACAAAATGGTTATCCAACATAGAAACCCAGGAAGCTAAGCTAATGCAATACTAAAACAAAACTGATTTCTGGCCACAAGGTTCTTATTAGCAGTGCACAGCCTTGCTGTTCTCTATGTGGCGCCGACTCATGCTAAAGCCAGCAACCAGCGTCTGCCCGCCCCTTCCATCAAGTCTGCAACTTCGTCTTCCAAGAATCAACCACTTGTGTGGACAATAGTAAATGTAAATGAGCTCACCGCCATGAGAAAGAGCTTACCTGTCACTGGAATATATCCCAGTATGTCTCTATATCTCCGTTACATGTAATTTCTCCTCCCGCCCATTATGCCATTAAACCCCAAAAAGAAAAACAATAACAATATTGTGCCCAGCGCTATCCTATATTATTAAAAGGAAATAATACCTCAAATTCTTTTGTAAAAGTAACTAAAAAAAATGGCGAAGAAATCGGCTTGGTTCATTTTAAGTTCAAAAAGATATAACGACAATGTCATTAGAGTATGTTAAGTTGGGGAAGAACTAGATCTGAGATCCGAATGTAAGGAATAACTAGGTGTTAACTGTAAAGAACCAATGCCGTCATAGCACAAAGATGCAGCATATTTAAATAAACCAAAACCAGGAAATTTATCTCTTTTTTTTTTTTTTAAATGATCCGGTATGCTCAAATTAATCAAATTTCACTCAGAATCTTCAGACTTACACCAAAAGGACCCAATTTCTTTGTTGTATACGAGAAATCTATATTTTGTCGAGGCAACAAACACAGGGAAAGATGTATAATAGGGCACTCAACAGCCTGACAAGTAGGGCATGAAATCTAACGCTACTTCGGAAAGACAAGCAAAATGCCTCCTGTTGACTTCTTTCAGGTCGCGTTAATTTTAAGGTCACAAGACTAATGACGGCTAATGATGTGAAACTACCAGGACAGGAGGAATGGGCAACTCAAAAAAGAACTACATGCTCACCCCTTACAATCAACAAACCTTCTATCCCCAGTTCTAACACCATGAGACCTAATCAACCAAACGTGGGGGCTTCATATGCTTCTAACAGAAGCATCTGTTAAATCATAGATACTTCAATGATATGAGACAATTTGACATCATACGAAAACCAGAAAAAAAAGCAGACTACAGTAACCTTTTTAGCCAACTGGTAACATATCTTAAGTGGTAACATACCCACCAGAATAGATGAGTTGATTCCAAAAGTAAAGGGTCTAACTCATAGAAACCAGAACCAACCTGTAAAATCTTTGCCAGAAGGTACTGGCGGACACAAAATGCATTGTATGATCCACAAAGACCACAAATACCATACCAGTTAATACAACTTGACACAGATCATGAAAAGGTAGAGTAACTCGATAACCGCTGCAACATGACGACGACAAGACTGACTTTCAGACACCCATATTGAGCAATGCTGGATGACAACTCTGGACCTTCTCAACCCTCAAATATGTCCTAGTACTCACTGGAACAGTAGACAATTATAAATTAACCGATGCACTGGAGAAATACATAAAGAAAATGAAAGAGCTAGAATCAAAATCCATCTACAGTGAAAAAACAAATCACGCATAGAAGGAAACCCTTGAAATTGATCCATTAACACATATATTTCAGAAAATATTATGCATATCAAGTTTGTAACTTGTACACAAATCACCAAAAACAAAGATGATTCCAAACAACCAATAGAGATCCAGAGCAAATGTCTAATACAACAAACCTGATCATTTTCATCCGGGGCAGGTGAAGGGGACTTCTTTGATTCAGCTGGTTTGTCCGCTCCACAGTTCTGTCTGTTACACTTGGTTCTAAATGGATAGTTTATGTTATTACATTTCTCACACTTCCAGCTACCTTCTGGCATTTTTTGCTCTGGAAACCAAAATTGTTATTGAGTTAAACATGAGGACAAAAAAGTTCAAAGATTGAAGAACAAACGAGGAAAAAGACATCATTTAGGTGAAAATGGGGCATGGGATCAACTTACTAGAATTTTTGTCATTCTTTGCAGCCTGCTTTACAAGAGAATACATCACATGTCAGAAAAATCATAAAATATAGAAAATTTCATCCGCAAGAAAGACAAATAAAACATACAGAAAGAAAGGAAGACTCGCAAGAAAGACATAAATAAAACATACAGAAAAATCATAAAATATAGAAAATTTCATCCGCAAGAAAGACATAAATAAAACATACAGAAAGAAAGGAAGACTCGCAAGAAAGACATAAATAAAACATACAGAAAGAAAGGAAGACTTACACATATGCATATGTATAGATACTGAGAGAGAGAGAGAGAGAGAGAGAGAGAGAGAGAGAGAGAGAGAGAGAGCAATAGAGGGAGAGTGAGACCTGAGATCCAGGCTTTGGGGTATTGCACTTCCTCATGTTGCAAACAGTTCTAAATGAGAAGTTGATGTTTCCACATTTTGGGCATGTCCAATCATTATCACGTGTAGCATCTAAATGTGCAATAAAATCGAACAATCAATGATCATTTAACTTAAGTTTTCCATGATGTCCAAAATGATTTGATGTTCACAGGAAGACTATATTACTAACCTGCGCCCTTCTTTTGAGATTTATCATCTGGATAGAACCCTGGCCTTGGCCCCTGCACAAGAAAATTATAAATAAATTGTACAACATCCAAGAGCACGAATTCTGTAGCAAGTTCACAAAAAAATAAGGTTTCCTGTGGACTCTGGAAGGATGATATAGGAAAATTTTAAGATCCCAGAGAATACCAAATATAGTAAAAGGATGGATGGCATCATAAAATAGCAATGGAAACCATACATCAACAAATTGTTCCAGGGCTTGATGATGCCTAAATATGGAGCATGAAATCCAAAAGCAAATGCATACGAGCTAGTACCCAATTCTAACAATAACAGTAGACTTTTGTACATACCATAGGACCAGGGCCCATGGGCAGACCTAGGCCATACCGTTCCATCATAGGGGGCATACCATACATTCCACCTGCAAGATTAGAGAATAACGAATGAAGAACCATAAGACACTAAAAACCTAAATGGAACCAACACAAGCAAGGATACAGCAACATGGGAATATCAGAGCACTGTAAATGGGAAAAAATTAATAAGAAAAGATTCAGTGTACTAATATATCCATAACCCAGCAAGGAAAAAAAAAAGCAGAATCATCACAAAGGGATAAATGAACAAAGCATACCATTTCCAATCATGGATCCGCTAGAATAAGGTGTTGGTCCAGACAAATGCAGAGGTCTGTAGGGGCTGCCTGTAGACAGGCGGCTGCCGTAGTTGTAATGATATGCTGATCCCCCAGAAAATGGAACATCATAGGGTGGAATAGATGATCCATTGAAGAGAGAGGAACCATATGGTGGGACACCAAGATACATTGAAGAGGGTGCAGCAGAACCCACATAAGGAGCAGCAGATGAGTAACCTTGTGGGGCTTGGAAAGGCTTAGCAGCAGATTTCTGAAAAAGTACAAAACTTGATCAAAACTTGATCTTGATATCTGTATATAATAGAATTAAAATATCAATCCTATAAACATAATATACAAATCTTGAAACCATCACATTCATAACCCTCGAAATAAAAACGGGATACTAACATGTCAACCAAAATGAACAAAAAAATGTATTGTGACCATCACAATCAGCAAAGTAACATCAGTGTTTAGGACAGTTGTGGTCGGACTCTTACTGAGTTATGATCCGCTGGCCTTGGCTGAGTGCAATTACGCATATTGCAAGTCGTTCTAAAGGAAAAATTAACATTTCCACAGCTAGGGCAGGTCCAATCATCTTCCCTTCTACTACCTACAAACACCACGTATAAGAATAATGAACTCCAAAATCATAACATCGAAAATTATACACATGGACTAAATCCCTAAAATACACATTCAAAGCATAACGAAGCAATACACGCATATATACATTCCAGATCTTCTACTTACATAAACTTTGAGGCTCCCAGGCAAAAATTATAATACCAACACCAAAGCCGAATCACAGGGACCACAATGCACAAAAAATTTAAATTTAAATTTAAAAAATGCATACCATCGGTTCTAGCACGCTTGGCTGCTGAAGAATTTCTGTTGTCAACCTGAACACCAAGAAATACGAAGCTTAAAGAAATCAACTTCGTCCGGCGCACTGAAAACCCTAACCATGGCTTCGTCGCCGTGATTTGGGGAAATCCCCAATGTAAAAAAGAGAGGGGTTGAGAGGAGAGGAGAAGCTCGATAAATTGAACGAAATGGAAGATGATTACCTGAGACATATCGGCGGCGAGATATTTGATTCGGATTCGAGTGCCAGGAGAATGCAATTTGCCCTACAACAGAAACGACGGTGGCGTACGGGACTCTCGACAAAGATATTGTGAGGGTTTTTCTGCGCGCACCGTTTCGCGTTATTACGTGTTGGATTGTGGGTCCCGCTATGATGGACGGTCCAGATAAATCTGACTAGGATGACCATTGAAAAAAGAGTAACGCGTCCACTTAAACATGTAGAATTTTTTTTTTGAGAGATTCACTATTATATTCAATATATGAGCTCAAATTATAAAAAAAACTTCTTATAAAATGGACTTTAGAAACACATAACAAAAGGGCTTTTAACTTTTTTTAAATTACAAAACTGTCATTAATTTCTTAAAACAAACCCAACCCAAAAACCTCATAAAAAAGTCCAAAACACTCAGTAGGGCATCAAAGTAATTTACTAATCAAAATTAAATTCAATAGGACCAACTATCATTTTTTGGTTTTTTTTTTTTTGTTTGTTTATAGAAATTAAATGGTTTAGGGTGTATTTATAGTTTTAGTGCTAAGAATGGGTATATGACTAAATATCTTTTCTTCTTTTTTTGTCATAAACATGTAGTCTTTTGGAGCCATTTTTCATTCCTCCAAATCACAAAACATATGAAAAGAAAAGAAAAGAAAAGAAAAGAAAAAATCATTAAAAAATAAAAAGACATATATCTCTAATCACATGTCAAATTTCAATTAACATGTAAATATAAATAGCTACGTTCTATTAGAAGCATTATATATACGCTTATTTATGTACATGCCCCTTGTGCTTTCAAACTTGTCTCAGATTACCACCTGTGTTTGCAAACATCTCAAAATACCCCCCAACCTTTGAAAAACAGTCTCACATTACCCGTTCCGTCAGTATTATAGACGTTCCGTTATGTGCTTTGGGCCCCACTTCGTTTTAATCTTTAACCTCTGCGAATAAGAGTTTTTCAATTCTAAGAAAGGGGGAAATTGGGTATTTGGGTGAGAAGGGGAAATTGGAGAAGAGGGCTTAGGGTTTGTGAAAATCTGATGTGAGCTTCGATTTTGGGAGAATGCGTCAATTTCTCCACTTCTCTGGGTTTCTTGTTTTGCTTACGTGACTGAAAACATTTTTGAAAGCTTGAGGTCAAATAAGAGAGAGACATAGGTTCATCTTCTCCATCCCTCCCCAAAGCAGATGCCACTGAATCATTCTCATTTCTCGTTTCTGAGCAACCATTTATTGGTTCACCCACATCTAAATCATTTTCCAGTGTTATGATATCATCTAAATTAGACCTGTCAGGTGATATAGTGAGAGGCCCTTCAGAATGGGGAATTTCGGAACTTGTAGCTGGTGCTTCGATGATTGGCTTTGATTGCTCACTGCTTCCCGTAAATGAGTGGAAAGGAAAGTTCATTAACGACCTAATTTGCTCCAACTTGTCTTCCTTATTCTTTTGCACTTGAACACTTACTCCGGTAACCTACAACAGAACTAGACAATCATTGTAAGACCAAAGCTTTATGAGCAAGAAACAAACAATATAAAATTTCAAAGAAAGCCAATGGTTTTAAAACCTTTGTTGAATCTAATAAACAGGCATTGCTGCTTGCTTCTCTGCTTTGCCACAGAACAATATTCTGTCTAGGAAGCACAGAAGTGTTGCTACTGCATTTAATCTTTCCTTTCCCATTTTCACCACCCATTCTTCCAAAATCGAAGCCCACCTCAGATTTTCACAAATCCTAAGCCCTCTTCTCCAATTTCCCCTTCTCACCCAAATACCCAATTTCCCCATTTCTTAGAACTGAAAAACTCTTATTCGCAGAGGTTAAAGATTAAAATGAAGTGGGGCCCAAAGTACATAACAGAACGTCTATAATACTGACGGAACGGGTAACATGAGACTGTTTTTCAAAAGTTGGGGGGTATTTTGATACGTTTGCAAACACAGGTGGTAATCTAAGACAAGTTTGAAAGCACATGGGGCATGTACATAAATAAGCCTTATATATATATATAAGCCAACCGAACTTTTGTACAAAAAGGCAAACTTACCACTTTAGAGTATTTTCAAAGGAAATGTTAAATTGCCACATGGACATGAAATGACCAAAAATAATAATTAAAGTTACTCTAATCGAGTAGTCAAATTCATGTAAGATTTGAAGGCTGGAAAATATATGTAAAAAATAACATATCAAAAAACTTGATGTGACCCCTCCGCCACCCTCTGGTGTGGCTTCTCCGCCACCCTCTGGTGTGGCTTTTACTTTTCTTTGCTTTCGTTTAGTTTGGTGTGTTTTTTCTCCTCTGTTTTCCTTGATGTTGGCCCAGATCTCCTCAATCTCTTCTCTCCCACTCCTTTACAGCCATTTCACCTCTCTCTCCCTCTTGTCCTCTCATCCACCTACCCCCCTTCAGGCCACTTCTCTTCCCCTTCCACGAACTCTTTAACCCTAAAACCCTTCATTTTTCCTAGGTTCTGCTTGGTTGTCTCTTGGTTTGTTGGTGCTGCTCATCTCCTACACTCCATCCTCAAATCAGAGCTTTTGCTCTGGAGGCGTTGGCTCTGTAGTTTAATGGTCAATTTTGACCAATCCATAGATCGCTTGAGCTTGATGCACGGTGGTGGCTTGCTTCCCCGAATCCACGCTCTTCAGATCTCCTTTGTCGGTTCTCTTGGACCTTCCTCTACTGGCGGCGACGGCAGATCAGGTGGCAGCGGCGGCGACTGCTTAGTTCTTGGGAGTGTTTTTAGGGTTTTGTTTGTCTTAGGGTTTTTTTGTTGTGTTGGGCCTAAAGTATGTGTATTATGGTTGGGCTTTTATTTTGTTTGGTTGTGCTTTTGTTTTTTGTTTTGTTTGTTGTATTGGGCATGTTTGTAACTTGTTATGTTATTGGAATATCCTTTCCTTCGACCAAAAAAAAAAAAAAAACTTGATGTCAAATATTCTTTTAATATTTTTTCAGTCATGGACGAATCCCACTATCATTTACTATATTTAAAAAATTTATGCATTATATGGACTCTATTTGCTTTAAAAAATATAATTTAGAATTCCAATATAGCATTAAATGTATTATTTTTTTATTTCATATGGGTATAATTGAAAAATTAAACAAACTTTGTTTTACATTCTTACGCAAATTAAATATGGAAAATGAAATAAAGTGGTATTTTCTAGTTACTTTCCTAGTGTTACCAAACATGGGCAAGTAATCTTCCATTTCTCATCCCTTAGAGCACTTCCACCCGTGCAGGCCAGCACAGGCAGAAGGCTCCCCAGCCCCCAAAAACAAACTCTAGTGGTGAAGGCTAGCCCAGGCAAGGAGTGGGCTCCATCAGCCTAGGCTGCTGCCTGGGTTTGTTGATGTCAGCATGACATCATCGACCAATTTAAATACCCAAAAAAATTTATTAAAAAAACCAAAAATTTTAGATTTTTATTTTTATTTTTATAAATGCCTAGCCAAGTTCTTCACTTCTCACACCAAAACTCCATACAAATTCATCAGCTCATATCTCATGTGAATAGTGTTTGCCTTTACTTGCCATGGCAATGGGTGGAAAAGCAAAATAAAAAAGGGTAGGGCAGTCACTATTCACATGAATAGTGTATGCCCTTACTTGCCCTTACCCTTTTCCATGGCACCATGGATGGAAGTGCTCTTAGAGTATTTCCACTCATTTGCCATGGCAAAAGGCAAGGGGTGACAATGGTTGTTACTATTCACATGAATAGTGCTTGCCCCAGTATATCTTTTGTTGGTTTTCCACCCATTGCCATGACAATCCAAAGGCAACTATTATTCACATGAGATATGAGGAGAGGAATTTGTATAGAGTTTTGGTGTGGAAAGTTAAGAATATGGTTAGGTATTTATAAATAAATAAAATTTTGAAAATTTTGGTATTTTTTCAGAATTTTTTTCTATTTTTTTTCTTTGATGGCGTTATAGCCGTTATGCAACAGCTTGAGCTGTTCTTGGCTTCGGGCCTGCCAGGGTTTGGTGGAGTTCACACCTTGTCTGGGCTGTTTTGTACCGCTGAAAACAGCTTCACGAGCCTAGGCCCCCTCTTGCCCGAACTGGAGGGTGCAGTGAAAATGCTTTTAAGAAAAGACATAGGAAATTATTTCACATCAAAACTTTTATGTGAACCAAACATGGCCTAAATGTCAAATTACCACATAAGCCATCAAATTCAAATCTAACACTTTGTATTTGATATTTCATTTAGCGATGCACTTTGGATTTGATATTTCATTTGAACATACATGTTGTTGTATAATTAAGGGTCGCATGATCGCATACCAATAAATGCACTCGGTTCTGTGTACTGGCTGATATGGTAGCAGCCCTGTTGAGTGCTGACTTTGACTGCATGAGTGCGGATTAATGGCACTAGTGCAATAGTAACAAGAACCCGGTAGAGACACTCGAGAAAACGATTCAATTTTTTGTATTTACAAATAATTGTAATTGCTAAAAACCCTTTCACCATTTTCTGTTCTGACTTTTAATTTAACATCCATGAAATCTAACCCCCAGCTCATGAGTAATAGTTTTGAATGAAGTTTTGAGTTGTAATTGGCTTCAATTATTGACTTTTCATGTCAAATTAGAAATGAGATATTCAATCAATATGGGTTCTTAAAAAGTTTTTGTTGTACTTTGTTCAAACTTTAGGAAGAATATGCGCAGCGAATACTGAAATATTGAACATTCTCAAGAATTATGAAGCTAAAATTGGGACATGAAACGCTTGGCATGAAGCTGACCAAGATGAAACACGAAACACAGAGACCAAGTCAAGGAAACAACACATTGCCTCAAAGGCAATCAAATGTTAAAAAGAGTCCTAAGATTGCGCAAAAACAACCAAGAATTAAAGGACTTGGAATACTCTACTACTACCCCTCAGCAGAGGACCTTCACACACACACACTCTCATATGCTTAAACAAAGAGATTAGAGATTGATCCAACAACAGGGAATGTAAAGAAAAGGACGGCCACAGCCGTTGCCATCAGACCGGCATGGTGGGGTCCGAGCTTGGTAATTCCATTAGAGTCGCTGGCCTTCTCCGGTGCTGATTTTCCGGCAGGTGCAGAAGGAGTTGCTGTCGATGAAGCATTATTATTGAAGATAGCAGCCTCTGGTGAGCCAGCAGGTATGCCTAGAAGCTCTGGTGATTTACAAAAAACAAAAGCACAATGCAAAGTAAATTAGCTAACTTTAATTAAAGATGCATCTATCAAAATATATAGCACATTGAATTGTAGAACATTAATGCACCTAGAGAAGGATAGTGACCACACATCAATAAAAATGAGGTGGAGGGTAAAAAGTTGACATTATACATAATACAAAGGAAACCTATTTCCTATCATATATCTCAATCATTCATCTATAAACATATATGTTAGTATAGTAACCCTAATCAAATCAACATATATACCATATTTATGCGCGGCCTTTCCACATTACTTTTAACATTATGAAAATGCTAGAAAGATGACCGATCGACTCTCGACAATTCTAACTCTAGGTCGGCATTTTCAAATCTCTCTTCAATAATGCTACATGCTAGGTGTCAATGTGATCCATCTTTCTTTTTTTTGGTCAAAATGTGATCCATCTTTCTAGTTGGGCGTTGGGCGTTGGGCGTTGGGGCAGTGGCTAGGTGGGCCAATTTAGGACACGTTGGAGTTAATCTGAGACGCAAGTGTCAATTGCCTGCCCTTGCAGCTAGGTTAGACATAAATGAAACATGTTTTAAGATTTTATACGTTCGTCGCAATTTTTTCTTACCCAAAAAATATAAAGAAAAGGCAAAAGAAGCTCAATACTTGACAATGACCTCAAAGGAAAAGTAAAGGGTATATATTTTGTCCAAAATTTGGAAAGGATTGTTGAGCATATAATATATATATATATATACAATATTTTATTACTACCCAATTTTACTATTAATTATCATGTCACTTTGCTTTGTTATCTTGATGAGTCTTTTTCTTTTTCTTCTAAATTTTCTTCTCTCTCTTCTCGTAAGACATTTATGTATATTCGCACTTTCCTACCAACCAACCTACACTTAAAATGGTGGCCGAAACCCTTTCCCACCAACCTACACTTAATACCCCAAGTCCAATCTATCCACAGCAGCATATTAAAACTCAACACAAATAATCTAAATAAACCCACATAACATTAATTACTAAGTATAAATTAACTTCCAATTAGCTAGGGTTGCATGCATCTTAAAACTAATTAAGCACTTCTTCTCTCCTTAGTTATGGTCTCTAAACTAGAACTATAACATTAATTATTTTAAACGACATCGTCTTCAGTTCAGTCACAAATGAAGAGAGAGAGAGAGAGAGAGAGAGAGCGTGTACTCACTAGGACAGTCGGTGGCGCTGGCGTTTTTCAAGCTGCATGCAGTGGGGAGCTGAAGCAACTTGGCCACCTGGATCCCCATCTTCTTGATCTCGTCGCTGCCGCTGTTGACCTGCTGTATGACGTAGCACAAGCACTCCGGCTCGCTCTCCCTTATCCCCTTTACCGACTCGCAGCAGTCCTTCGTCGGCGTCTCCGCTTTCCCCGTCGCATAGCTCAGGCACACCGCCACCTTCTGAAACTGGTTGCTACACTTCTGCGCCACAGTCGCGGCCGCACTCGCCTCACTCACCGAACCAACGATCAAAAGCAACGCCACCACCAACATCTTCCTCATCATCTTCTTCAACTAGCAAGCTTGATATGAAATTTAGAAGGTATGATATAAATAAGGGAAAACGAAAATCTATGGAGGGTTTGGACAGACTCTGACTCTATTTAGCCTTTAATTTATTGAAGGAAGGGGAGTTGGGTGTTGTGCGCTTTTAATCTGGGCCGTAAACGTCAGCATCATGGAAGGAGGCTGTTTTTTGGAGATTTAAATGGAGGCCCGTTGGGGTGGTTGTGGTGGCAATTAAAAGCCTCTGCAATGCATGCAGCTGATGTTGTTGTTCTTGAATTTATTCAAGTGCAATGTTACTCTGTTCACATTTGTATATTATATTCTCACAGAAGCTGCGGTGTATAGCTATATCAATTAAAAAATATCAATAAATTATAAAAAATATATATATTAAATTAATTTTAATTAATATAGATTTTCACCTTATTTTATATACCACATAACATAGTATAGTATGAGAATGTGGTATACAAATATAATAAGAGTAGTATTATTCTTAGTATGAGAATGTGGTATACAAATATAATAAGAGTAGTATTATTCTTTGTATAATTGTATTTGTAGACGAAAGAGAGGGAGAAGAGATGAGCTTTGCTTTTAATGAAGGAAGTTGAGCTGTAGCGCACACAGGTGTCGTGCCATTGGCCACGTGGCAGCTCCGTGATGTGCGAGATTTAGGAAGATGGAATGGTTGGAGTTTTCTCCTCATCGGGAGTTGTTTTTCGCAATCAACGGCTCAGATTGTGACCTGGTCTGGTGAGCGAGGCCATACGACAACAATTATTGATTGTAATTCATGGGCCCAGACGCCCATCAAAACTCCACCTAAATTTGGGCATTTTCCCATTAGAAATAGAAAGTCGTAACATATTTATTTGTACCATAAAAAAGTCATTTAGCGTCTTTTGGGAAAAAAGTCATAACTCATGGTAAAACTAAATACTTGATTTAATTTGTTGAGTGTTTGTCCCCAAATGGAAAGTAATAATAATTAAAAAATAGTTTCAATAATGAACGAGTTAACATATACTAATAACCTAACAATAACAAACACCGACACTTGTTTTTAAAGGTACAATGTTGGTGTTAGATTTTGGTAAGACACTACCATTTCATCGCTTAGTGGATAGCGACAATTTGATTTCACAATACGCAATTGGAGGACTTGTAAGTACTGTGGTCGTTTTATGGGCCGGCCCTGAAAATATTGGATTGGACTTTTGACTTCGGAATAGAACTTGGGTCGAGTCTTGTCGTATGGAGTCTTGTCAAACAAGGCATAAATTCACAAGCCCAACATGTATATATATATATATATATTGTATATTGTCAAAACATTTTTATAGATATTTTATAGTAATTATGATATAGGACGTTGAAGCACGTTTGAAAGCAGCATGCACACCTTAACATTTGATCAAAATTACTTATCAAATTTATATATAAAGACATTTTGCTGGACTTGAAATTATTTTATTTATTTATCTAAGAAAAATGATAGTCTCTAAACAACTCTATGTTACGGAGGTGTGGGAGATCGAACTAGGATGCAAACTTGAGACCCGTAGGCTTTGAATCCTTAACCAAAAAGAGAAGGAAAGAATATCTAATCCATTCTTTTATACAAGGAGAAGTCATTACTTTTATAAAGAATAATGAATTATTAGCAACTTTCCATAATGGTATGAACTCCTTATCCTCTGCTACACTTGTTCCACCGCAAACTCTCTCTCTCTCTTTTCACCTGCAAATTGATATTTGGCCTCAAACAACACAATAAAATTTGAAACTGAAGCAAAGGAAAGGAAAATCCAAAACAAACTCAAAGAAGCAACATCATGAATAGTCAACTACCTATTGAAAAGGCAAATACCAAACCACAGTATCTAAAATTATATCCCTTCCACTATTTAAGGAAAAATTCCCCACCAAAATCCGTACGCCTTTGTCTGAATTTGAACTGTACTTGCAGTAATAGCAGCACAGTATGGGGATAAAGCAAGTCCACGTGCCCATTTCTGACTCGCCATTTCAAAACTGGATGATGGAAAAAAATATCAAAGCTTAGTCAACTTTTGCGCCACCCAAAGACAGACCAGACAAGACATGTTGTACTGCGAAAACGTGCATATCGTATTTGCCCACTGCCTCGCTAATATTTAATTTAATTAATGTAGAGCAGAGGTGTTGTTACTTTCAAAATCTTTATCTAAATTAACCTTTGCCTCCTCTCTATCTATGAGTCTCTCATTCCCGTTCTCCAACTTTATATATCATAACCCAAAGCCCCTCCTCAATCGCCAAATCCTAAATTCCAGTTTATTTACATTATTCGATACATTTTCCTTTCTTTTTTTATTAAATTATAAAAGTTATTGATAATATATTCTTAAAAATGAAGGTTCGCAGTTCTTTGTCGGAGAGGCCCGGGTTCCTCGCCGTCGTTTTGCTTATCCTCATCGGCGTCGGGCTCGTCATCTCGAGTTTCAGCCGCGTGGGGACCTCCATGCTTTGCTCGCTGGCTGGCCCCACATTTCTCCGCCCCGTAGACGAGAACTACTCTCCGACGGGGATCCAGCTCCAAGCCATTCTTCACTACGCCACGTCGCGCCAGACCCCGCAGCAATCGCGCGGCGAGATCGGCGTCTCCTTCGAGGTCCTCAAGGCTCGCGCGCCGTGCAACTTCCTCGTGTTCGGTCTCGGCTTCGACTCGCAAATGTGGGCGTCGTTCAATCCACGTGGCACGACGCTGTTCCTGGAGGAGGACCCCAAGTGGGTCCAGACCGTCCTCAAGGACGCGCCGCATCTCCGGGCGCAGACGGTGCGCTACCGCACGCACCTCAAGGAAGCGGACCATCTCCTATCCTCGTACCGATCCGAACCGTCGTGTTCTCCGTCAGAGGCGGTCCTGCTTGGCAACGCGCAGTGCAGGCTGGCGCTGAACAACCTGCCGGACGAGGTGTACGAGAGGGAGTGGGACCTGATCATGATCGACGCGCCGCGCGGGTATTTCCCGGAGGCGCCGGGGCGGATGGCTGCTATATTCTCGGCAGCTGTGATGGCGAGGAGGAGGCAGGGATCTGGTGTGACGCACGTGTTCCTGCACGATGTGAATCGGAGGGTGGAGAAGGTGTATGCGGAGGAGTTCCTGTGCAGGAAGTACTTGGTTAAGGCCGTGGGGAGGCTCTGGCACTTTGAGATTCCCTCCGCCGCTAACGCGACGGAAGTTGACGGCGCACGCTTTTGCTAGCACGCGGCGCGTACAGTATTGGGTGCTCAATTCTTTTTCTTTTATTTTAATTTTATGTTACCTTTTTTTATTATAAAAATTATAAAGCGGTTTACACTTATGCTCCGTTTGGATGAAGAAATTGCAAATTACATAGAATTCTAAAATGATGGAATTTAGATTTCCGTCATTTCAATTTCTGGCAATTGAATATTTCAGCGTTTGGATTTATGTATGTCGAATTTTGTAATTGATAGAAATTGAAAATTTCAATGTTTGGATAGCTCATTTAAATTGTAAATGATAGAAATTAAATATTTCGAAAGAACAAAAAAACTGATAACCAACATAGAAGGTATTCCTCGAAATATAAAATAACATATATATCGTTTGATGAACTAAATAACTCAACTTAAGCAAACAGAGCATATTAGCAACCCAAATCACTCCCCACGTGCAATAAACATCAATAACATACTCTCTTTTTTCTTAATTGGGAGTGCCTTCAACATCTGAAATTGTTTGTCATTTTCAATCAGCCAAGCACATGCTTTGAGTTGTTCCATTGGATCAAGGTTCTTAGTATCAGCACAGATAAACTCTTCAAATGATAAAGCCATTCTAGCAATCGAATCAGCAATAACATCTTTGACATCACCTCTTTTATATGTAGGAAGAATATCAGAAGAATTTGATGCACTATTTCTTCTCTTTTGACCATTTGTTGAGGTTAGTGAAATATCATCAATAACATGAAATATCAGCGCCCTCTCCAGTGGCTCTATCTTTGCCACACAAATCTACTATATCATCCTAATTTTTTATAACTTTAAATCGAAAACCTCTAGTATCGTCATGAGACTACCAAACAAATAATCAAAGTCAAATAAGAATGGGAGAAGACCAAAATCGATTTTTAGCAGCATATAACAATCAACAAAGCTTTTCGTTTCCTTACAGAGTATATGAAAAGCTTTTCAGCAACATAGGCTTTTTCTTCAGAGTAAGGAAACGAAGGGTAAAACTTGAACAAGGCGATAACATAAAGCGATAAAGCTAGCAAACAACTACAGAGCTGTACCATAAACACAAATCACACACCAATATCCATGGGCATAGAATATTTTGTTAAAACTTCCCAAAATCCAGCCATAGTGCCGCAAAGATCACAAAACCCATTCAACACATATTCATAAATTTAATCAGAAACACCCAATTTTGATAGCCATTTAGAAACCGTGGTAACCCTGAAATAGAAAAACATAAATTGAAGGAGAGAAAGGCTTGAGGACTAACCTTCAAATTTGATCCAGATAGATGTGTACTTTTTTTTTTTATTTAATGAAAAGGTTTGCGGTTTTTTTTTTAATGTAAGTTTTGGCACACTGGAAAATATGAATTCCCGCACTATGGAAATTGTGAAATGACGCTTATTTTGGTGGAAATTAAACTCGGGAATTTGATGCCTCAATTTCCACAATTTTTTTCGCGCGTCATTTAATAAATTCCGCGCTTAAGTTGCCAAACAAGGGAATTGTCAATTTCTCCTCTTAAATTCCAGACTTTTAGCTAAATTCCGAGTTATTTTCCCTCATCCAAACGGAGGGTTACAGTATGATAATGGACAGTTCATTCTAACCATACTACTCGGAGGGATTATAGTAAAACCGATGAAATGATTCGTACTGGGCCTGTAAGGTAAGATTCGGTGAAAAGGAAGATAATTTTAAATTAATTATGATATTGGTGAGTTGGACTTTTGTTGGATTTAAATTGGAACATGTGTTACACCAGTCAAGAGGTATTATTAAATATATGTGCCATGTACAAAATTTAATCCCATGTATAACATAACATAATAAATGCACATTTTATAGACTACAAACATGTTGATACGACGGCCTAACTGAAATGATGAAAAATCCTAATTTGGAACGGTTAATGTCTTGAAGGTTAGGTTTTGTTAGGCCCAACAGTTCAATTTGAGCCCAGTTATTTATTAGTGGG